GAGACCAGAGAGAGACCAGAGAGAGACCAGAGAAAGACCAGAGAGAGAGACCAGAGAGAGAAACCAGAGAGAGACCAGAGAGAGAGACCAGAGAGAGACCAGAGAGAGACAAGAGAGAGACCAGAGAGAGACCAGAGAGAGACAAGAGAGGGACCAAAGAGAGACCAGAGAGAGACAAGAGAGGGACCAGAGAGAGACCAGAGAGAGACCAGAGAGAGACCAGAGAGAGACCAGACAGGGACCAAAGAGAGACCAGAGAGAGACAAGAGAGGGACCAGAGAGAGACCAGAGAGAGACCAGAGAGAGAAACCAGAAAGAGACCAGAGAGAGACTAGAGAGGGACCAGAGAGAGACCAGAGAGAGACCAGAGAGAGACCAGAGAGAGACCAGAGAGAGACCAGAGAGAGACCAGACAGGGACCAGAGAGAGACCAGAGAGAGACTAGAGAGGGACCAGAGAGAAACCAGAGAGAGACCAGAGAGAGACCAGACAGGGACCAGAGAGAGACCAGAGAGAGACTAGAGAGGGACCAGAGAGAGACCAGAGAGAGACCAGAGAGAGACCAAAGAGAGACCAGAGAGCGACTAGAGAGAGACCAGAGAGAGAGACCAGAGCCCCACTGTGGCACTTGGTGTCCCCAGAGGTCTCCCATCACAGTACTAACCAGGCCCTGTCCTGCTTAACAACAGAGGTCTGACTGGATCTGGCTTTCCACTTGTTAAGTGAGTTGACTTTCCAAACCAAATACTGCCAACTGTCACCTCTGCTTCATTCAGCGATTGCAACAAATCTTTTCTTCAAGTTTCATTATCAATTTTTTGGACAAATTTAATTCACACTAAAGATTTCTCCTCATTTCCCTCTTCTAGAATAACATGTCTCTGTATGAAAAAAATTAAAGCTGGGGTACGTACTTTTTTTTAGAAAATTAAAGTAAACAAACCAGGCCACAACAAACTGTCTACATCAAAGTAAAAAAAAACCTTTATCTATTCAACCAATTCAACCAAGTTATTGCACTAAACAAGGATAGTAATTGGCTGCATGCAACAATAATGAGGCTGAAAACATGCAACAAATATTCAAATCCTCCTCTTCCTCCTGCTCCAGACTCTACCTCCCCCCAGTCTTCATCAGGCTCACCTCTGTCGTCTTCCTCAAATGTCAATAATAATAATATCAATAATAATAATAATAATAGTCACATGTGGCTTGGCTTCTGCTGCGTCCAGACTCGCGCTCCGGCTGCTGTCGCCACGGAGACTGAGCCGCGTCATGTGACTTACGGACGACGTCGCTCCCTCGCTCGCCCATCCTTACTATCTCTCTCTCTCTCTCCTGCTTCTGATCTGCCTCAACACAGTGATGCACTAGATACCCCTCTCTACTCTACTCTACCCTTCTTTACACTACTCTAATCTACTCTACCCTACTATAGCCTTTTCTGCTCTACTCTACCCTTTTTGCTATCCTCTTCTCTACTCTACCCATCTCAACTCTACGATTTTCTACTCTACTCTACTCTTCTGTGTAACCAGACAGATACTGGTTTGTCGTGGGAACACATACTAAAGCCGAATGGAAGCACGACCAGACGGAATAGAGTAGAGTAGGGCTGGTGGAGAAGGGGCTATAGTTGCAGTATTTGTGATTTGAAATTAGTAAGATTCAGATTCATTTATTTGCCATTTGCAGTAAAACCACATTGGAAAAACTGTGCAAGACTACCCCAGTGTGCACCAGACGACACACACCAGAGCTCTTGCCACGGCGCCATCTTTACGGCGCCATGCGCCGTAATAGTAATTAGGTAACCCAGCTTTAATCACGTAAAATGCATGTTTTAAAAGAGCATCACTCCAACAGATATCCCAAAAATTGCCCAAAGAAGTGGATTTTTCAGAGAGAACAAAAAAAATCAAACATTTAAACTCGACACCAGATCAGAGTTTTGTCTCCTGTATCACTCTAAACTCTGCCCCCTGTGGATCATTGCAGACATTAATAATGTTTTAAAACGGAATATTTAGAGTTCTAACCTCTGCTGCAGCTGGGCCTGTTACCTTGAGCCTGTTACATAACCACAGAGATATAAATAAACCGTTCGTTCCTGAACCACTTGAGAGAGAGCCATAAAAACACATCTTCAAACAGAGATGGTGAATATACATGTCTTCTTTAGAACTCTCTCTCTTTGTAAATCCAGATATGAGTCATTTAAGGATTGACCAATCAGAGGCCTTTATTTGCAGGGAAAACTCCAGCATGCCCTAGCAACCGTCTTAGCAACAGTGTTTGGTTTTTCTACTCTGCACTGTGACATCTGCAGGAGAACACATCTGCTCCAATAATATTTGCAGAGAACTGTTGTTCCTTACGGTTAAGGCTGAAGCAGAAGGGTTGTTGCCCTCTGGCTGTGGCTGTAAGTGCCAAACTGTGGTTGTGTCCTTAGGCAAGACACTTCACCCACATTAGAATGAGTCTGGTGTGTGTGTGAATGGTTGCTGGTGGTGGGAGGGCCGATGGCACATACTGGTTGCTTCGCTTCTGTCAGTGTGCCCCAGGGCAGCTGTGGCTGCAGCAGTAGTTTATCACCACCGTGATAAAGAACAAGAAGAACCCTAACCCTATGCTCTATGGTCCCTCTGCTCTCTGGTCCCTCTGCTCTGGTTTCCTTGACAGTCTGAGTGGATATAACTGAGTCGAGACTTCAGACGAGATCAGAAAACGAGCTCTGGGTCTGAGCTAACCTCATTCTGCCATCGTGGCTCACTCAGGAGCCTCCTCTGAGTCACACAACAATCTGAACCTGAGACAGACGTTTATGAGCAGAGAAACAACAGAGAAAAAACAGCGCAGGAGGCAAATTTAAAAAAAGATCTAATTTTTTTGTATTTATTTAGTCAATAATGAAAAATAATACATAATTAATTGTACAGTACTTTACTGAGGTCACAAGCACAGATTCACCTGCGCTCCTACATACCTCTGCTGGCCTTGTCCCAGCACACGTCACCTAACGGGCTGTACATTTGTGTTTTTAGAATGTATCAATATGAACAAATTATTATCTAGAGAGAGCAGAGAGAAAGAAGAGGGTGAGAGAGGAGAGAGAGAGAGAGAGAGACCAAAGAGAGACCAGGGAGAGAGACCAGGGGGAGAGCAGAGAGAAACCAGAAAGAGATCAGGGAGAGACCAGAGCGAGACCAGAGAGAGAGACCAGAGAGAAGCCAGAGAGAGACCAGGGAGAGACCAGAGCGAGACCAGGGAGAGACCAGAGCGAGACCAAAGAGAGAAACCAGAGCAAGACCAGAGAGAAACCAGAGAGAAACCAGAGAGAGACCAGAGAGAGACCAGAGATAAACCAGGGAGAGACCAGAGCGAGACGAGAGAGAGCGACCAGAGAGAAACCGCAGGGAGAGACCAGGGAGAGACCAGCGAGAGACCAGGGAGAGACCAGGGAGAGACCAAGGAGAGACCAGCGAGAGACCAGGGAGAGACCAGGGAGAGACCAGCGAGAGACCAGGGAGAGACCAGAGACCAAATAAGTTTATATTTCTAGTACAATTCCTCCCTACAGCCAGTATCTACGATAAACTAATGAAAAGTCTAGTGACACAAATCGTCTGTGAGGAGGATGCAATATGCAGGAGTGAACAAAAGGCAAATTAATTACGGATGTGCAAAAATATGTTTCACAGCCCGGAGAGTCTATCATCTCTGAAATATTAAACCTGCTCCAGCTCTATGTTATTTTTACGATCTGAAGCTTCTCTTTCCGGTGTCCCTCCCCTGAGTGGATATTGATGTTTTTGAGTGAAAGAAAGTGCTGTTTCTGGAGGATCCTGAACGCATCTCCGGGGCGCGTTCACAAACTTCAGGTGGAATGGATCTGACAGCTTTAGTCTCTTCTCTAGGAGATTTCTGACTGTGTGTGTGTGTGTGTGTGTGTCTGTGTGCATGTGTGTGTGTCTGTGTGTGTGTGTGTAAAAACCAAGAGAAAAGTGATGTGTTGCTATAAATAAAGGTTTATTTTTAAGCCTTTTGCTTTGTGTGAGCTGGGATAACAGGGGGAAAGGTTGAGAGAGAGAGAGAGAGAGAGAGAGAGAGAGAGAGAGAGAGAGAGAGAGAGCAGGAAGGGAACCAGAAAGAGAGATACACAAAAGGAAGATAAAATGGGGGGCAAAGATAGAGGTACATACCAAAGAGAGACCAAAGAGAGACCAAAGAGAGACCAGAGAAAGAGACCAGAGCAAGAGACCAGAGAGAGACCAGAGAGAGACAAGAAAGAGACCAAAGGGAGACCAGAGAGAGACCAGAGAGAGAGACCATGTGTGACCTGTGTGTAGTTTAACCTTTTTCAACTGAGCCACATGCAACAGGCGAGAAAACCAATTTATGGCTAAATTACTGCTAGGTTGAATGTATTAGTGTTTTGACAAACCAGATCGTGTGTCGAGACTCATGTTAGACAATGTGAGACAGAGATAGAGAGAGAAAGAGAGAGAAATAGACAGAGAAAGAGAGAGAGGGTTAGAGATAGAAGAGATGATAGAGAAAGCTAGAGAGAGAGAGAACAGATGGATAGAGAAAGCAAGAGAGAGAGAGAGACAGAAAATATGGATAGAGAAAGCGAGAGAGAGATAGAGAGAAGAGATGGATAGAGAGAGCAAGAGAGAAATAGAGAAATATAGACCAATATACAGAGAGACAGACATATAGATATATAGAAATATTTCTTCCAATTTCATTTTGGTCTGACATTCAGACAAGAAACCACACAAGTACTCACAATCACACAACACAATCACACAGCTTCTTTTCAAGTAAAGCCGGCAACACAACTCCATGAAACCAAAGCAGAACCAATCAGCAGGACTTGGGTTCAACAGGTCAAGGGAGGACTGGGAGAAATAAACAGGGTTGACATTATATGGGTGTGTCTAACAAACCCCATGTCCATGTCGCTCGTGAGCAGAGACACTAGAGGAGGTACTTACACGGTGTGGGCGAGCTCCTGGGGTCGCTCCGTGTGCTCCGGGAACACGGGGTGAGGCGGCTCTCCCATCGGGACGCAGCCCAGAGACTTACTGATGGCGTGGCTCAGTTTTTTGGCCGGAGATTTCTGATAAAAACACACAAACACTGTAGAGTAGAGTAGAGTACGGTACAGTAGAGTAGTAATAGAGTAGTAAAGGTAGAGTACACGTACCCATGAGGAGTGCTCCTTCATCTGGTGCTGGTTGGAGTGAGGACCATTAGCGTGTCCTCTCCAGAAGCAGCCCTGACACAGCTGGTACCCGTGACACTGCTGACAGCGGTACCTGAATCCCATCATGGACTCACTGCGGCAGAACGAGCACTCTACCGGGTGGAACACTGAGGACCAGAAACAAGACACCAGGTGAGAGCAGAACACTGAGGAACCAACAACGAGGACAAGAATCATGAAATAATATTTTTTATACCGTGTTTTTAAGGACTCTCACTTTTCACATGTCATTGTTCATTCACTCTAAACACAGTGATGATAAACTACTGCAGGAGCCACATCTGCCCTGGGGCACACTGACAGAAGCGAGGCAACCAGTCTGTGCCATCAGCCCCTCCCACAACAACCAACAACACACACACACCAGACTCATTCTCATGGGCTGAAGTGTCTTGCCTAATGACACAGCAACAGTTTGGCACTTTACTGTGGCATCTGGTGTTCCCAGAGGTCTCCCATCACAGTGCTAACCAAGCCCTGCCCCGCTTCGCATCAGAGATATGACAGGATCTAGCTTTCACCTGCAGGTATGGCCACCTGAGGAGGAAGGGTCTGGGTGAGAGTGTTTAAAGGTACACTGTGTAGTTTTTACTCCCATCCAGTGATGAGTCCTTTGGTTCTACTGTAGCTTGGAAGAAACATGTCGCCTTTGACAGCGGACCCCAACTCCGATCCTTCGAACCGGGGCCAAGGAAAGAATCCTTTAGTTTAGTAAATTAATTTTGTAGCGCTAAAATTTACTGAAATGTAAACAGTCCACGTTCGGAAGTGGCACCGGCGCGCTGCACAGAGGCACAGAAGTAAAATGTTCTTAGTTTGAGAATAAGTGTCTCCCTTGGAATGAGAAAAAACAACAATTCTTGAAGAAAATTAAAACTTAAAACTAAGACTTTGTTCCATTAGAGAATCTGCTTTTAACACAGAGAGAATGTGCTCAGATTAAGATAAAAACCACTCGTTTCAAGCAATTATTCCTTCATACTTTATATGTTTGCAGTGAAGATTACTAAATTGTTAGGATAAGTTGTTTTAAGAGTTTCACGTATGTCCCCTTTAAACCCCTTTATAATGACCTATCCTGATATTTGTCATAGTTTTCTGACTGTGACGTTAAAAACTCACCGTTCTCAACGTTGGCGAGGCGGTGCATTAGCGGCAGCCACACCAGACACTGAGGCGGCGGGTCAGCCATCAAGACGTCCAGGAACGTGTTCAGGACGATCTTCTTCTGGGGAAACACACGGTTAGAGTCTGGGACCAGAGAGTTTCAGAGACTTAGTACAAGTTGGTCTATAGTCTCTGGTTTCTGGTTTCTAGTCTCTCTGGTCCAGAGAGACCTTGGTCTTTGGTCTCTCCGGTCTCTGCTTTTGAATCTGGTCTCTTTCTGGTCCCTGGTCTCGTACCTGTTGGGGGAAGCAGGTCCGGACAGCGTGCTCCGTGTATCCAAACGATGGTCCTTCGAACACAGCGGTGGGAAGTTTCAACACCTCGCGCAGAAACTGGTCAAACTTTGCAAACACCATGATCCCACTGGAGTCTGAGATCTGGGAGAAGACGTCTGACCAGGACAGAGCAAAACACGGACCAAGGTCAAGTCCCATAGCAGCACACTGTTTACTGTTAGAAGTTAGCATTTAGCCTTTAGCATTTGCCTTTTGCTGTATTTCACATTAGATTCACTTGTTTTAGCACTTATTAAAATTTGGTAAAGGAGAAACATTAAAACACACAAAGTAAACATTTTTTGGAGGAATTTTCCAGAATTCCTTGTGTTGTCTGCAAACTCTCACACTTGGTCAGTGATGAGTCAAAGACACAAACATATATATATTTTTCTACATAAAAAGATGCATTGCCCATTTAATCAAATCCCCACAGGAGGAACTGGTCGGACCCTGGTTCTCTGGAGCAATGCTGCCACCTGGTGTTCATTTTGAGAAGTTATTTGTTCACAAATCTGGGGAATCCAATTTTCAATCTACAAAAAAAATATAGTATAAAATGAAATCTATGTCGAGTTTCTGGCTCTAACGCAGGTAGGAAAGAGGAACATTGTTTGCTTTTCTTGAGTCGCTCAGAAACAGACACTGCAGTAGTGTCCAGAGAGCAGAGCTCTCTGCTCTCTGGACACTCTGGTTTCTCTCTCTGGTGTCTGTAGGACTAATGTTTGCTGCATGCACAGTGTTATAGGTAAATGAGAACAAGAGGTTAGAGGTTAGAGGTTAGAGGTCAGAGGTCAGAGGTTAGAGCTCAGGTTGCCCAGCTTTAATGTAAACATGAAACTTACATCGTAACTTGTCGACGATCTTCCCTCCGCACATCGTGGCCAACATACACTTCATGGAGAACACTGTGAGCTTCCCGTGGCTCTCACTGACAAACACAGAACGTAAAGTTACACAGAGCAACAATCACAGCTGGTTTTATACAGACACAACCCTGTGTTTGGCTCTAGCCTTCTCAGTTTTCTTCCCAGGCCCTGCTGAAGAAATGCAGACCATTCCACTGGGGCTCTGAGGGTAACGACCAGTGTTAGTTTTAGGAGACACAAAAACCTCCCAACCCCATTTTGACATTCTCTTTCAAAGATGGTTGCCTCGGAAGCACATCATCATCATCTCTCGGTCCCCCAGAATTAATGAGCCAATTAATAAATAACGTGACATCATATCAGTTGATTTATTCACTGATGAACCGAAATAAAGTTTTGATCTATTATTGTATTTACTACATGATTGTTTTTTATCCACTTCTCTGATATCAAATAAATAACTTCATTTACATGTGATATTGCCTACATTGCCTTGTGTCTGACCTGTGCCATACGAATAAACTGGCCTCACCTGTCGTACGTAGCCACCATGAAGTTGAGCAGGAGTCCGATGCTGTGCTCCACGCTGATCTGGTGGGTGGTCGGCAGACGCTTGTTGAGCTGGAAGTAGATGGAGGAGAGGATCGTCTCCAGACGCGACACGTTGATCTCAGCGCTGTGCTCCAGAGCGTTCAGCCCGTTATCTCGAAACGCCTCGATCATGTTCCACACGTCCACCAGGTGAACTGCAACCAGGGAGAAGGACCATGTGACACCAGAGACTGTATACAGGTGGACCATGTGACACCAGAGACTGTATACAGGTGGACCCTGTGACACCAGAGACCGTATACAGATGGACCATGTGACACCAGAGACTGTACACAGGTGGACCATGTGACACCTGAGACTGTATACAGGTGGACCATGTGACACCTGAGACTGTACACAGGTGGACCATGTGACACCAGAGACTGTATACAGGTGGACCATGTGACACTAAAGACTGTACACAGGTGGACCATGTGACACCAGAGACTGTATACAGGTGGACCATGTGACACCAGAGACTGTACACAGGTGGACCCTGTGACACCTGAGACCGTATACAGGTGGACCATGTGACCCCAGAGTCTGTATACAGGTGGACCATGTGACACCTGAGACCGTATACAGATGGATGATGCTAACCTGCTAGCTCTGTGCTCCGGCTCCTATTGACGTATAATTAAACTCCTACAATAATTATAATTATACTCCATCTCAGTAGCCGTTTTTGTCACATTCATCATTTTCAACTTAAAATATCTGTGGCTTATTGCTCTGTATGATTCTGCTGTTTACATTGTGATATGGTTTTTGTAAATTCCGATTTGAGCCCTAACAGCGAACTAATCAGGGGTCTTCAGGCTGGGACTCTGAGGAGCAAAGGGACTGGCCTTTTGCCTTCCAGATTAAAATCTGGAACAGTCTCTCTGAAAATGTGAGACAGGCTTCTTCTCTGACAATGTTCAAATCCGGGTTAAAAACATGAAACTTGCAGCGAGTTTCTTACGGTTGCATCTCTTCTGCACAAAGCGCAGTTTGCAGGCCGTTCTGTAGGTGGACAAGCGGATCACGTCAAAGTTCTGGGCTCCTGGAAACAAAAGGAAAAACAACAACATTATTTTTTATTAATAGATGTATTGCAAGCAACTGGTGGACCTGGAAACACAGGTCCACAGTGGTCCTAATAGGACAGTATATCATATATGGGAGGGCTTGTCCTCCCATGAGGGGCTCTCCTCCATCACCTCTTCATCTCACCACTGTCTGAGACATTCACTGAGTACGTCATCCGTTTGGGCCTTCTCCATGATGCAGTTATGGAGTTTGTATGTTTGTATGTGTCTCTCACACTCACTAGTCCTGCCTCCTTCTTTACGGCTTGGGATGGAACCTGCCATGCATGGGGAGGAGCAGTTTTAACATCCGTGGTCTGAATCTCTTCCTTTGGCCACCTGATTATTCCTGCAGGGTATCTGATCACTGGCAGGGCGTAGCTGTTAATTGCCTGGGCCTTGTTCTTGCCAGTGAGCCGGCTTTTTAGGCAGTTGGCGCTTTCCTCGTTGCCTGTTCGAGGTTGCCATTTGCCCGTGGTATACCGAGATACTTTTAGCTGTCCTCAACGTCTGCTATTGCGAGATCACTTCTGTGTGGACTACCTTGCCTCTCCGAGTCACCATCCTGCGACATATCTCGAGTCCGAATGACATCCCGATGTCATGGCAGTAGATCCTGTTGGTTTGGATCAGAAAGTCGATGTCCCTCTGGCTCTTGGCGTACAGCTTGATGTCATCCATGTAGAGGAGGTGACTGATCTTTGACTGAGGTGGTATCCAAAGCCAGTCTGGTTCAGGCCTATGCAGTGGGGACAGAGCATCTCCTTGGTAAATGCCACATTTGATGGTCACTTTGTGCGAACCATTTCAGAACCGTTTGTCCTTCGGTTAGCCATGCTGGTTAGCAGCTGGTTCATTTGTGCTGCTAGGCGCTCATAGAGGGATGTGAGTGTCCTCAGCCAGTAGGGATGGACCATATCAGGGCCAGGTGCTGTCCAGTTTTTCATACCTGAGACTCTTTCTCGGATGTCTGCCTCTGTGATGGAATCTGAGTTCTGTTCTGGGAGGTGGCTGTGCTCCTCTCTCAGGGACACTACTGTGCACTATAGGGCTGAAACAACTAATCGATTAATCGACGACTAATCGATTATTGAAATAGTCGACAACTATTTTAGTAATCGATTAATAGTTTTCTGGTTCACACGGACTCAAACAGAGCAAAAATGACATGAAAATGTAGTATTTTTTTATTAAAACCGACTTTGTTTTTATAATTTCATGAATATCTGTCTGTCTCATCCAATCAGAGCAGAATTAGCACAAAGAGCCTGTTTAAAACAATTACTTTAAGTTTACGCCATCAATACGTCCTCGAGTGTTGCCACTTTAGCTTTTTGTGATGAAAAAATAATTTTTTTCTACACAATTCACAGCCAAGCGATTACTCGATTAATCGTAAAAATAATCAATAGATTAATCGATTAAAAAATAATCGTTAGTTGCAGCTCTAGTGCACTGCCGTTGTGTGCTGCTTCCTTCTCCTATGTGCTCTTCCAGAACTGTTCAGTTTCCAGCCTTGGTGGGTCTGCTCCCTGGTTGTTACCCTGCCACTGAGCTCAGACCTTCACAGGTTGTGTTGCGAACAGCCTCTTCACTCTTCTGGCTTCATTCTCTTTAGTGTACCTTTGAAGGCGGCTGGCCAGGGCTTTGTTTGGCAGTTTCGAGTGCTTCAGGTATGGTCATCTTATTTCTCTTCGAGCAGCCTTGACCTTGGCCTCCAACGTCTTTTCCATGGTGGGTATTGTCCAAGGCTCCCATGGTTGCTCTTATAGCCAAGCATCTCTAGGATCACTGCTGCTGAAGTGTATATCAGCTCATTGGTTTCAGTGATTGTAGTGGTAGGTATCGCCCTCACTGCTGCATTCACGTTTTCTGTGAGACTTTCAGGTGGTACTTCACACAACCGCTGTAACCAGTGTCTGTGCCCTGTGCCCATTCTTGCCATTATCTTAGCTTTCAGGTCAGTCGCTGCCTCGTTCAGCGTTATCGTTTCCATTGGGGCTATGTACCCAATATCTGGTTGGGGAGTTGGAGTTGGTGGGACCTCCCCTCTGACCTCAGTATCTGTGGCATCTGTGGCATCATACATGCGTTGTACCTCATCAATCTCAAGCTGTGATAGCAGTTGGCATTTGTGGATGTTGGAGCATTGAGCTACTAATTGTTTCGGGGTCAACCGAGACTATGTGTTTCAAAGTTACCATTCAGCCCACATTCTCTGCATGTAACCTCTCTGGCCACGGTTATTCGAGTATTAGCATTCTAACAGAGCCCTGTTCTCGCATCTCGTCCACTTTCGCCTTGTTCCAGTAGCCCACTTCTCATCAAGGTGCTTTGGTTCCCCAGCACCTGACGCAGACCTTGTTTGGACAGACAACGCCTGAGCCTGCATCTCATTTTCTGTTTTGAGCCTTCATGGTTATGAGTTAGGCAGTAACATTAAGGGTCTTGCCCAAGGACCCACACTGGATGTTGGTCCTTGGGCAACATCCCATACAGTATGTGAAAAAGCTGCACTCACTCATCTCCATAAAGAGCTGTCTCTTCTCCACCAGAGTCTTCCCTCGTTTACTTCCTTCTTCAATCATTCTGCAGAGAAACAAACATCAAACACACAGGAAATATCCTTCTGTAGAATCACACAATTGGGAAAAATCAAAACAGATCCCCGTCCTCCTTTTGTGGCAGAAGAAAAGCAATTTTTACCTTCAGGATTGTTTCTCAAAACATTTTCTACTGAAAACATGATTCTGATTGTGAAATGCAGCTTAAGCGTTAGTTCAAATTGGTAGACTGCCTACGTCACCTCACCAGGCTGGCCCACACCTCCCTCAGCCTCACATCAGCTTCATCAACTCCCAGCCAGCCGCTAATCAAGCTAGCTCTGAAAAGCTGGACGCCGCTCATCAAACTGCTTTTCAAGCCGCAACCACCTTCTTCCCACCCTCACATCCACTTTGCCCTGTTGTACCAGTGTTTAGGCCCCGGGGGATCTGCACTCAAGCACAGATCCTCACAGAGCAAGGCCACAGCCGGGGCCTGTGCGCCAAACTAATAAACTACAAACAAAACTTACAATCTATAAATCTTTTTAACGCGTCTTGTCTCTTGTAGTCTCTCCAGATTAAACCTGAACTGACAAAGTGAACCGCCTCATTTGACCAAAAATAATGCATCATATCTTAGCTTTAAAATGATCTAAACTCATGATAATAATATGTTTGTGAGTGTTACCTGCTGATGCGGCCGTCAGGAGCAGACTCTAAAACTGTGAAAAACAAAAGCAGAGAAAGAGACGATGAGTTTGACAACAACACCAGAGATAAGGATTTCTCATTGACGCAGACTTTTAAATGAGGAATTAACATCGAGACTCAAGGACCAGATTATCTTCAGAACCAAGAAGCAGTGACTCAGAGGTTTACGTTGGAGCCTTATTATTTATACTTTTAACGACACATTTATAATTATTTATGAATCTATATTGGACTCAAGGATACAGGTGATGACCAGGACAGACCAGGACAGACTAGGACAGACTAGGACAGACTAGGACAGACTAGGACAGACTAGGACAGACTAGGACAGACTAGGACAGACTAGGACGGACCAGGACAGACTAGGACAGACTAGGACAGACCAGGACAGACCAGGACAGACCAGGACAGACTAGGACAGACCAGGACAGACCAGGACAGACTAGGACAGACCAGGACAGACTAGGACAGACTAGGACAGACTAGGACAGACCAGGACAGACTAGGACAGACTAGGACAGACCAGGACAGACTAGGACAGACCAGGACAGACTAGGACAGACCAGGACAGACTAGGACAGACTAGGACAGACTAGGACAGGGGTTTCTCTGTAATTTACCAGCAGTGACAGCTCTCCTCATCATCAGCCTCACTCTCAGCCTCCAGCTTCTCTCTCACTCACTGCTTTGTTCAAACACAGAATTCTCTCTGGACATCACCACAGTCTATGTATTTTTACATCTCAATTATTGATTTGATAAAAGACTGTTTTATAGGCCTCATCTATCTCTGTCTATCTCTGTATCTCTCAGGTATTTTTCTGGTCTCTCTCTGCTCTCCGTCACAACCAGAGAGAGAGACCAGAGAGAGACCAGAGAGAGACCACATAGAGACCACATAGAGCCCAGAGAGAGACCAGAGTGAGACCACATAGAGACCGGAGAGAGACCAGAGAGAGACCACATAGAGACCACATAGAGACCAGAGAGAGACCAGAGTGAGACCACATAGAGACCGGAGAGAGACCAGAGAGAGACCAGAGAGATCACAAAGAGACCAGAGGGTTATTCAAAAATAAATGGAATTGAATGTCAGTCTTGTGTGTGTAAACCATAGAGTGTAAATATTAGATCTAAATCCTCTGACTGAGCTCACACTGGTACAGTAGCAGCTCCTCGTCTGACGTTACATAATGAACACAAGAACCACTGCAGCCGAGTCGCACAGAGTCACACAAACTCACACAGTCGCACAAAGTCTCAGAGTCTCTCTCAGTGTCAGAGAGAGTTGGAGAAATCATCTGACTCTCAAACGCAGAGCTCTTTGTAAACACGCATGATCCAACTGTACATGTATACTGTATTTTGTTAGAATACCCCCCCACCCCCCCCCCCCCACCCCACACACACACACACACACACACACAGAGTCGGAATGGACGACACACACAGTGAAGGTTCAACATTTTTATCATATGGAAGTGGAGTGTGAATGTGAATGAATGTGTGTTAGTATGTCTGTGTGATGCCTAAAGCAGTGGGAAAGCGTTTTACGGCCGGAGAGTGTGTGGGCCTGTGTGTGTGTTTATCTATTGTATTATTGTACAGTTATATGATGATTACATATTATGGTATGTAATAGTATAATGTTGACAACCTTATTGTGTCACTGTGCAGTTATGCGATGTATACGGCATAATATTATTACAGTATTGTGTGTGTGTGTGTGTGTGTGTGTGTAGGTGTGCGTGTGTATGTGTGTTCGAGCGTGCGTGCATACGTGTGTATCTATCCCCATGTCAAACTATGCACTTATTATCTGTGTGTTATACTGATATACTAGATAATGTGAGTTGTGCAGGTTCTAAATAACTAATCTAAAAATAATAATAATTATAGTACAAAAATGCGCTTCTTCTGAATGCATGACATCACCAAACACCAAAACGCGAACTCAACGTATTCCAAAATCTCCCAAAACGACATTATCGGACTCAAACCGTGCCTCAACCCGGTCACTAATGACAACATGCCTCTTACTGCAGTAGCCTCCATCCAGGGCCAGTATCACCGCTTTACGCACAAAACACGAGCCTAGAACGGACTGGAACGGGTAGAGATGACAGATGAGTGAGCCAGGGGAGTAATTGTGAATACATCTGCCGCGCAAAGAGGGAAAGCCGTGTCGTGATGAGGTTTTTTGGGGTTCACAAAGGCGAAATTGGTGAGAAATCTGCACCACGAAGGAGAGTGGGTATTTGCTGTTATTGCAGAGAGAGAGTGAGCGGGGAGAGTGTGTGGAGCGGGGAGGGTTGGAGCGGGTTTGGGTTGATTTACCTTTGAACAATCCTTGCGCTTTCAGCTGGTGGTGATGAGGGAGCAGCGTCGAGTCGTCACCGAAAAAAACGCATCGCTTCTGGGGGCATTTCTCCTCCGCTTCAGGCAGGACCGAGCTCCGGAGATGGAGAGAGAGGAGAGTCTTGGAGCTGGAGGACGCTGTCTCTCTCTGGTCTCTCTCTCTGGTCTCTCCCTGGTCTCTTTCTGGTGGACTCGGTCTGAGAGAGCTCTGTATCCCCAGCATCAGCAGCAGAGACACAGATGCCATGCGCGGACCGATACTACGCGCTGGGTTTACGCATGTGCGCGCACGCAGGTTTAAAGGGACAGATGTGATGGAGGTGAGTGAGCAGAGACCAGAGGCGAGGCAAGTTTATTCACTGTTCATAAACAAGGTAACCCGCAGTGAAAGACATTAAGTAATAATCACAGTACATTAAAAGAGTATACTTCAGGTACATGACAAAGAAGCAGAGACCTCTCTCTGGTCTTTCTCTGATTTCTCTCTTGTCCCTTTGATCTCGCTTTGGTCTCTCTCTTGTCTGTCAGGTTTCTCTTTCTCTGAGCCAAAGCCACTGTCACCACAATAAAAAGACACAAACTGATAATCAATCTTGTTTTATTCATAAGATCCTATAACGTCCGATAAAATACACTTTGTTTACAAGTGCTGATTATTACTATCTTACATTCACCCAGAGTTTAAGAGTTTAGGACGTACACACACTTAAGACACGTGAAAACACACACACAAACACACTTAAGACACGTGAACACACGCGCGCGCACACACACACACACAGTGAGGCAAACAGCAAACGATGCTAACATGACACTGAAATAGTTTGACTCAAAATAGCCAACATTCTGTGACGGTAAAAAAGTCAAATATGAGTTACTGTAAACCCCCTTAGTTCATTATTGTGCAGTAAAGTTTATGTTTAAATGTTTACTTCCTGGTTGCAATTTATGACATCACACAAGGTACTTCCTGTTTGATATTCGCCAAAACTCACAACAAAATCCGTATATTGTTAATTGTTAATAAACTGTAAATTGTGTTTAAAATAATTTTAAGTCACTTGCACTAGGACTAAAAAACCTGCTCTACTATTGCCACTGTTTCTTTAATTGCCACTTTTATTGTACAAAATTATATCCTGACCATGTTTTTTGCCTTTAACATGTTTGCACACTTCTGTCTTTTGCACAAACCTTGAGTGATTCTATCCATGGCAAATGTGACATGTACATTTCTCCTGTGTGAAATAAATAAACTCCATCTCACCAAAGCCAGATCCCGTCAGACCTCTGAAGCTAAGCAGGACAGGGACTGGTTAGAACTGTGATGGGAGAGCTCTGGGAACACCAGGGGCAGCCGCGGCTGTAAAATGCCAAACTGTAATTGTCTTGGCTAAGACACTTCCCCCACATTAGAATGAGTCTGGTGTGTGTGACTGGTTGGTTGTAGTGGGAGAAGCTGATGGCCCAAACTGGTTGCCTGTCAGTCTGCCCCAGGGCAGCTGCAGCATCAGTAGTGACTTTGAACGTTGTATGTACATTTCCTGTAGTTTTCAACAGCCTTTGTCAACTCTCCTTCACAAACTTCTCATTAGTGCAAAACTATAGTGACTCAAAAAAAATTGTTCAAATTGGAAAATGGTTTCCATGTGCCCTTTAAGCACCGTTAGTTCAATATTTGTAATTTACCTTCAGAAATCAATGAGGAAAATGGTGCTAACATATTTCATCTAACGACTTGTTCCCATCACAGAAGCTTGAGAACAAACTTTAAAACATTAAAAACCAATTGTGAGGATATTGGGAGCATAGTTTAGTGACTCAACCAAAACTAGGAAAACCTTCTATCTCCCATTGAAACAAATACAACAAACGTGTCTTCAACACACAGTTCCATGGGAGTAAAGACGACACACAGTAGAACTTTGAAAAAACCTGGGATTTTTTTTATAAAAGTTACTCTTCTTCACTCGGTCCGAAACAAAGCTAGTAAAAATATACAGCTAACATATTATCATAGCAAATACCCTGTTGATTGAAAAGACAATTATCAAATAGACTTATTAAAATATATTAATTAAAATATATTACTTTATTAACTACAGCAAAACTAAGTGATTCTAACAGTGATAAGGTGACTTTGAGCATTGTTAAACCATGTATAGAATTCCAATTGAGTTGTTTTTAAGAGACGTTTGAACCGTTTTGAATCTAAAGCTATTTAAATAACAAAACATTGGGAACTTTTGAGGTTTCTTCCTGCATTTAACCCGCCGCACCAGTCCAAGTGCTAAAAGTGAATTGATTATGTTGAAATCTTGTTGTAAAAAAATAAAAATGGACAAATGGTCACAGAGTTCTCTGAGTGTTTAGATTCTCAAAGAAAACAAAGAATTAAGTCTTTATTGTAAAGAGTGTGTTTCCAAAGAAAAAGTTGAATTCTCCTCCAATTAAATCCATCGCAAACCAGTTACCGGATACTACTGAGACACTGAGCAGCGATGCGTTTAAGAGCGCAGGGAAAAGCCAGGTTAGTATTAGGGCATGGTCACACAGGTTTTCACAAACGAACTAGGCCCGGATCGTTGTCACAGGGTGTGAAGTTTCTGTTTCTCCTCCTGTTTACCCCAATACCACAGGCTTACATGACAGGGGTAACAACTAGCAAGAGAGAGTACAATGCAAAAGTATGAGACCGCAGGTAGAGACGTGTGCAAAAGTTCACCTAACAGCCGGAGCAGCACTCTGTGATCCTTGTGTTTATATTGTGATATTGGAACCAACTGAGTGCGTGTGTGAAAATCAACTTAGAAGCATGGCTAACCATACATTCATATTTCTGTTCTGTCGTCTCGGGTTTCTTCTAATGCTGTGGTTACGATTGAAGAGCACATGTTTAAAACGCTTGTGTGATAGCAGTTTTAGCTAATACTTTAGATTAGCCCTCACTAATTAAGTGCTAAATAGTTTACCTGAATCCTAACCCACATGGGAAAGTGGCAGTTAGATGTTGAATAAGGCCATGTAGAACAAGGACTGATAAGTGCTTAATAAATACCAATTAAGAGTTAATTAACCATCAAATAAACACTGAAGGGCTAAACTAAAGTGTGGCTGACCCAGTTGTATTGAGTATTACAGTCACCAAGCCTGAAAGTTAAGGGAAAGCAGAGACTGAAAGAGGTCAGACTGGTTTGAGAATCTCTGATTCTGAACGTTATCTGTATCTTCTACTTTGGAAACACACATTTATAAACAAAGACACAAGTCGATGCTCGTTATCCCTTGGTTTGGAGCAGGGCAGACAGAGAATATACCTTTTTACATTTAGTGCTGTACAGTTTCTTGATCCCTGCGGTTGAGAAGTGCCTTGAACTTGTAACTAGTGGATAAAGACACGTGCAATCGCAGTTTTATAAAGTTATTTGTCTAAAAACTACACTTTTTTTTTTAAATACAAGCATTTTCTGTTATTATCACTGTACAGTTTCTCTATAAAACATTGGTGGCTGCACTTCCTGCTGGGGTCTCGCCAGGGCTCACAGTGATCAGAAAAGCAAAGATCAACTTTACTTTAACACGAACAACTAAAAAAAACACAGACATAATTGGTTTTGTGGTTCGATAGGTGATAATATTGCTTTTTCAATAGATAACTGTCTGTGTCTATAATGATGTTGTTAAAGTGATATAGTTCTTTCTTCCAAGTCCAAAAAGCCAAAAATGGAAGCTGCTCTCAAAGTCCTCAAAACTCATTAACTTATTTTTATATATATTTTTTTAACTATCAGAGAAAAGATAGAGAGACCAGAGAGAGAGACTAGAGAGAAAGACCAGAGATAGACCAAAGAGTGAGAGCCCGAGCAATAGAGACCAGAGGGAGATCGGAGATAGACCAGAGAGAGGAAGAAGAGAGAAACAAGAGAGGCCGGAGAGAGAAACAAGAGAGACCGGAGAGAAGAACAAGAGAGACCGGAGAGAAGAACAAGAGAGACCGGAGAGAAGAACAAGAGAGGCCGGAGAGAAGAACAAGAGAGACCGGAGAGAAGAACAAGAGAGGCCGGAGAGAGGACGCCTCTGGTTAAGGTCATAATTCCAGTGATTAAATATTCAGGAGAAATTGAAAAAGACAATTCTGGTCAATTTCCTCATAACATGGAGTGAGTGGCGACAGTAGCTCAGTTGATAGAGCATTGGCCTTTGGGCCTGAAGGTCGTGGGTTCAAGCCCACTGCTAGACCTACTTCACGACTCCCACTGACGACTGCTGTCGTTGTGTCCTTGGGCAAGACACTTAACCCTACTTTGCCCAAAGCCCCAACTGAAAGATCTCAGCTCCTGTGGACTCACCACCTGCAGGAGGATCAGTGAGGGGCTGGTGCTAAGTGCACTGGGTGCAGCTCTGACTGCCACCCCCCCGACCCAGAAATGGATTAAGGGGAAGAAAATGGATGGATGGATGGAGTGAGTTACTTTTTTAACATGGAAAAACGTGCAGGACTTTATGACTGGAGAACAAGCATCTGATGTTGCATTGGATCTTAATGACAAATCGAAAAGACAGATATAGGAAGCTTGCCGTTTTGTTCGTGAAGAGTTTGCGTTTAGTTCTATTATTTTCAAGCAGCTGGTTTGGACTCGGAAGTGAAAAATGCCACAATTCTAAATAATAAATAATAGATTTTTAAAACTATCACGTGAACCCAGGTCGAGGAGGTACTCTTTAAAACAACCACTGATTATCGTTAGCGCCCTTTGAGTTTTTCATTTAAAATCCGACCGTAATAAGTTTAAGAAAAGTGTTCATCTACAACAAAACGCACTAGAAAAATAGTATCGACATTCACTGTTTCTTCTGGTAAAAAAAAACAAAAACAAACTCTACCGTTAAAAAAATAGACCTAAAAGCTGAGTGCAAACGTCGCATCACACAACTAGGACAACATTCTACCCAAAAAATGCACAATTGTTATCGTTTTTGACAATCCAGTGTAATTCCTTTTAGATTGCGACGTACAATTGATACAACGGCGAAACACAAAATCTGCATGAGGCAAAACGGTCAAATCAACTCAATTTCAAATGATATTACTGTAATCTCTGGACTATAAGCCGCTACTTTGTTAGTGCTTTGAATCCTGCATCTTATATAGAAATGTGGCTAATTGGCGTATTTTTATTGTCGTAGAGTTGTCAAATCAGATTTTATGGCCTTAATTCTAAACCTCCAAATCCCAACTCTAACCCAGGCATGTCCAAACGAAAACGTGGCAAATGCGGGCTTATGTGTCCTTTTAATGTGCCCATCTGCCTTGCTAACTGATGGTAGTCTTTGAGATGATGAACATAACTTCGATGTCATTCAACCAACTCAGCTCTACCCAAAAAAAGTAGAACCTATATTGGATTTTGATTGCGTCGCAAGATTCCCTACAATGCACTAATGTAGCTGTGTCGTTAGTTCATACAGGTCGCGTGTTGTTGGCCCCTTGACAAGTCTCGTGAATGAAAGTGGCCCTATCATTTTGACTCCAAACCCTAAAGCCTATAACTCAAATCCCTCTAAAACTAAACCCCCTCACCCTAAGTTTTAGTAGCTACAGAGCACTTATTCATTTTATTTATTGTCAAAACAAATAAAGTTGAATGAGTCATGGAAGCTAACGGTAAAGCTGTTAAAAACTCATTAAAACCTGTTGTTTTCAGATAAAACAGTCGTCTCTCTGCTACATTAAACATGAAAACCTGCAGACTTTGTGAGGACAACATTCACTTTCTTTTCAAATGCTGCTGATGCGGCTTATAGTCCAGAACGTGTGGTGATGTAGTTAGTTAAAGACCAGTTAAAAAAGTGCGTCGATCTCTCGTGTGATTTAATTTTTTGGCCTCATGCAAATATTGATTTCTGAGTATTAAAATCCCATTATTATTATTTATTAGTACTACTTTACAATATGGCTACCAGTCCACACCACCTTGGCTGCTGTGACCTGAAGTGCTGCTGCATTACTATTGTTAGTAACATTTAGAATTGTCTATTCATTTGTTTGTTTGGATGGATGTTTCTGTCCATCTATCTATGTATCCGCTGCAATCCCCCCCTGCCTCCTCCCACTCCCTGCCCATAAAGACTAATGCAAACCCCCCGTATAACTACATGTTTTCTCTGGTAGCCATATCGTAAAGTAAAACACATCTGGTGATTCTTTGTGCATTTACTTCTCATCGTACCACCAAACACGACACGCACAGCTTGGACGGCCCGATGCAGTCGTTGTGGCAAAAGGCTCCACATCCTTTACACATGATCATGGCCTTAAGGCGACAGTAGCACTTGGACTGCACCTCCTCCATGCTGGGCCCCTCCACATAGGACTGTTCTGGAGAGGGCTCCCCCTGTCCGCTGTCCAAGGACCTACCGGCAGGGATGGTGGTAACCGTGACGGAGAACGACATGACGCTGCCGTGTTGGGAGCCGTCAGCCTCCGAATAGCTGGAGTTACTCGACGAATCCAGAGTGGAGTTGTTGTTGTTGTCGTTGTCGTTGTTTTTCAAAGTCATGCTAATGGACCCGCTGTAGGCCGCGCCGACCTGTTGATTGTCATTGTGGAAATTCTGCTGGTGGCTTAAATATGGCTCCGTGCTTCCTGGGATGCTGCTGAAACTGAGGTGCTTTCGTTGCGAGCTGGTTGAGTCTTTGGCTATTCCTCTGCTGTTGTTGTTGTTCCGGTCGCTGTGCTCAGACGGTTCGCTTTTGATCCTCACGCAGTGTTGTACGTCGTCCGATTCGCCTTCTGTTTTTACCAACGGAACAGTTCTGGCTACATCCTCTACGTCTCCCGTTTCCCTTTTTAGCTTCGAGATTGACTGCTGCTGCTTGTGTCGCTCCGAACCCCTTCCGTACGTTGAAATGTTCAGGAGGTAATGTCCGGTCATCGCTGGTTTCTGCTTCCGTTTGCAGCCCAAAAACCCGACTCCGATCTTTGTTAGCTTCCTCTCCACATGCTCCGTCTGCATGGCTTTGAACGCTGGCGACACCACGTCTCCAAACTGCGGGTTTTGACTTTGCCGCTGCATCAACGCTTGCAAAATCTGCTCTTGCGTCTCCTTATCCGGGAGCTCTTTATGTTTCAACTCCTTTCCCATCATAGCTTTTTCACTGTCAAGCGATTGCGCAGCTTTCCCCTTGACTGTGATTTTAGCTTCAAATTTGGACAACGGTTTGGGAAGGATTTGCTCCATCGGGACCTCATGGCCTTGGAGAAGTTTGGTGACCAGTGGGTTGTTGGCGGGGATGCAAGAAGCGTTTCTACCTGCTCCGTGAAGGGAATCTTTCAAATTTCCTGACGTATTTTGCGAACACAAACCGGACTTTTGCTCTGCTTTTACAGACATGGGACTGGGCGATGTTTTGGTTTTGAATAGACGCAGAGGAGGAGAAATCTTCACGGGGGTAAGTGGCGGGGTGGGACTGGGGCTGGGGCTGGGAGATAGTTGGTTTCCTGGAACGTTCCCTGCTTTTGCGGCAGCTCTTTGGGCCCGGGCGAGCTGTGCTTTAGCCTTGATGTCGGCTAACGTTCTGGCTCCAGGTCGACTTGGGCTGCTGAGGGGCGTGGAGAGAGGTGTGTGTGGAGAGGGAAGTCCCGGCGACACTGGGACAGGGACAATACGGGACATGTGGATCTGAAGAGAGAAAACCAGGAGAAAACGTTACAATGACGTCTTTATGTCCTTTATATTTAAGGTTTAGAACGGTCTTTTAGGGAGACAAAAGTGCAAAGAAGCTAGTATACTGCAAAATATGATATGAGGTAATTAATGCTTAAATCAAGAAGATTTTATCTTAATCTGAGCATTCTGACTGTGTTAAAACAAGATGTGCCAATGGCCTTGACAAAGCCATTTAGTTTTATTTATTTCAAGAACTCTTGGATTTTATATTTCTAATTCCAAGGGAGACGTTTCTTGCATCTTTTAAGATATAAGAAAATATTGCTTTGTCCCATTGGTAAATCTGTTTCTAAGGCAGTCAGAATGTGCTTAAATTAAGATACAGTTTGCCAAATTTGAGCCATTGCTAACTCATCACTCTTTGCTGTTCAGCAGTACTAGCTTCTTTACATATTTAGCTTACTAAAAGAACCTTTTCAGCTTTTACAATGTCATTGCTGGATAAACGGGATAAAATGTAAATGTATTGAGGAAACCTAAGTTTAAGTACAAGAGAAAATATATGTCTGTGTTTCTGTCTTGTGTTCTATGTTTCTCTTATTTTGTAGATGTCTGTGAGTCCAATTTCTCTGGGACATAATGGACTAATCTTGAATCTTGAATTAATCTCCTTTTTCCCCACGTCAACCATTCTGCTTATCTCTTTATGAATACATGGAATTTAGATCGTCGACACAGTGTTGTACTTCTTTGATTGTTGTATTTTGTGGTTATATACATATAACATATGAGCAGTACCAATGTCTGCTACAAGTTAAATTGAACCAAAATATGGAAAAACTGAATATCCCCTTTGGAAGTTTTGTTGGAGTACATTACCCATAACGCACTGTACCTTCAACGGTGGTACCCTCTGACCAGACGGTGAGGGCGTGGCTGGGCTGGACAGCGAGGAGGTGGGAGGAGGAGACACAGAAGACACAGAGGACATCGATGAGAAAGACCAGATGCGTGGCCTCTTCTCCGGAGTCGCCTCGCTCTCAGTTTCACTCTCAGATTTCCTCTTCGAACCCTCTGTGCTCCCTGCAAATACCTCCTCATTCTCCTGCAAAACGGCTTTCTCTACCACCAATGGTTCGTCCTTTTTGACCTCCTGTGATATCGTCGGCGCTTCTGCAGCTTCCTGAACCTCTTGGCTAATTTCTGCAGGTTCTTTGTGAGTTAGGACAACTTTTGAATCCTTTTTATGTTCTTCTCTCTCTTCAGAAAGCTCCAAGATAGACAATTGAACTTTTGGGTCGCTCTCAAGTACTTTGCTGATGTCTTTAGTTTCTTTGATAGACAATTGACCTTTTGTAGACTTCAGTTCTGGGCTAACTTCTGAAGACTGTTTTATAGACTGGGGTATATTCGACTGCTTTCTCATTTTGTGGCTAACTTCGGTAAGATCTTTGACAGATAATTGCACTTTGAGTTCCTCCTTTAGGTCTTGGCTAACTCGTGTAGGTTTGAGCGACGATTGAACGTTCGCCTTATTTCTCACGTCTTTGCTAACTTCTGTTGCTTCTTTGCCAGTCGCTGGAGCTTTCGGATCTTTATTAAGTTCTTGAGTTGCCTTTGCTGGTTCTTTAGAAGCTTCACTGACCGGAGAGAGCGGTGGCGGTTCTGCCTTCTTCTCCTCGCTCTGAGTTACCTTTTCTACCTCCTTCAGCGCCTTCAGGTCTTCAGTGGTTGCTTTGTTTAGCAATGCGGCCATAGCTTTTCGGTCTTCGGCTTGCTGCGCCCGCCTCGTCCTCATTGGTTCAAAGACAAACCGTTTCGGGAGCTCTTGCGGTGGTTTGGATGGAGGTTTCGTAGAGGTGTTGGAAGCGGACAGGCTTTTCTTTTTGTCTTCATTGTCTTTGGATTCTCCTGGTTTAGTTTGTGGAGCTTTAGCCGTGGCAGCAGCAGCAGCAGCAGGAGGAGGTGGTGGGGGTGGTGGTTTGGAGGTTTTCAGATTCTGATCGGCCTTCGTCAGCTCCTTGGATTCCTCACAGCTGAGTCCAGAACTGGAAGAAAAATAGTGAATAGATGACTTTCAATTAAAAGCAAAACCTAAGATTTTGAAAGAATGCATCTCAACTTACTCCGCGACAAGAGACAAAGTATTAAACAGAAATGCAAGCAACTAAAAAGTACTAGGGAACATTTCTCTTGCACCGTAAATGTTTTGTTAAAGCTGGGGTACCTAACTTTGAAAACACAAATAAATAACTATGTAATAGACTATTATGTAGTATTATCTACTGTAATCTGACTAGTTCCTCGCTCTTAAAACAGCTTGATTGTTGTCAATTCGCCAACACAGACAAGAGAATCAAACAGTTCAAACACAAGAAATGCAATAATCACAAATACATAGGAGCCTCTAGTACCACCCACCCTGTCAGAGCGATGCAGTCTCTGCAGTCTCATCATGTAAACTGTACAGCCATGTAAACTGTACAGCCATGTAAACTGTACATCCTTGTAAGCTGCACTTCCATGTGCATGATTGTTATTTTAATGTTTTATCACAGTATCAGCCCAGGGACTACAGATGGAAATGAGCTCTTGATGCATTTCTCCCTTTGAGGTGAATGTTTTTTGTACACTGTCCCTTTACTTCACTCACTTTAAATAAACTAAACTAATTATCACTCACTTCTCTCCGTAGTAGTTCTCAAAGAAGGACTCTTTCCAGCCCTCCATCTTCTTTTCTTTCTCGATCTCTTGCCGCATTCTCAGCTGCAGTTCCGGTGTGAACTCGCCTGAATGAGACATCGCACATACACACACCTGACACAGGGCCTTGATGATACAACCCTCTTTCAACACAGATTCAATGGTTTTATTATGAAGTGAAAATGTGTGTACTGACCTTCGGCCAGTCTCTCTTTCCACGACTGTGCGGCTGAAGTGAAGAACTCATTGTTTAGGGCAGAACTGGTGACCTTCAACAGTCCGTCCATGCAGCCCTGTGAATATTCAGAGGACAGAGGAGATAAAGTAACAACTGATTTTAACATTGGCTATTGATCGTAATCTTATCAAAGGAGTTCAACCACAAGTAGGTCCATTGTCTCGCACGCCTGTCTGCCAAGTCTGTTTGAGTCTGTTTGAGTGTGTTTTGCTGCTCACCTGTCGGTCAACCTCCGGCAGAAGCTTCAAGAGTCTCTGCTGACAGTCTGGGGGCAGGACGCTGAAGGTGTGTTTGTTGATGAGCGCTCGCAGGTTTGTGTTCACCAGGATGGAGTCTGGAGTCTCCACGTCGATGTTACACTTTGTGCGTTTTATTTGACCTGCAGCAGACACAGCAGAGAGTTGAGGAGACTGTAAGTGATCCCCATTACAGGTTATTGCCCTGCTGCTGCCCTAATTTTAGCCCAATTTTTGCCTTGGTGCCATTAAAAACGAAACACTGATCGCCAATGCGCCTCTCTATCAAAACCAAGAAGTGTCGATCTGTTAAACATATGTTCATAACCGACAACAGTGGCATTGAGTCTCGCCAGACCTCATAAACCATCCATCCATCCATCCATCCATTTTCTACCCTTTAATCCATTTCTGGGTCAGGGGGGTGGCAGTCAGAGATGCCACCCAAGTCTCACAGCACCAGCCCCTCACTGACCCTCTGCAGGTGGTGAGTCCACAGGAGGATGGCTGCTCTCTGAGTGTGAGCATAGCCTTGATCTTTCAGTGGGGGCTTTGGGCAAAGTGGGGTTAAGTGTCTTTCCCAAGGACACAACGACAGCAGTCATCAGTGGGAGTCGATGGGGCAGAGGTGGGAATTGAACCCACGACCTTCTGGCCTTAAGGCCAATGCTCTACCAACTGAGCTACTGTCGCCCCCTCAGGTCGCCACCTCATAAACCAGTCCTTCTCAAAAAGTGGGGTGTGCAATGCCAGGGGGGAGCACGTGACCACGGGGCACTTGCTGTTGTTTGCTGTACGTCCTTGAAAGGGATTCCACATCCTCTTGCAGCGTTCTGACCCGTGGCCGCTTTGTAATGACAGCGGTACCCAGCGTAACCTGTGCATGCAGTAATGCATGTTGGTTTTGCCCAACATTTGTGAACAAATCAAAAAGTCAAAACACAACAAACCACTACAGTCGGTCTGATTTGATATTTTTTTATTTGCATACTTAAGAAAGAGCCCTTATTTGAATTTTTGGGCTGAGAGTGGATTGTCTGCACCGATCTAAAAGATGTAAGGAGGAGGGGCACAAAATGTTTTCTTATAGCTGAAGGGGAAAAAAAAAAGCAACAAGTCTTAACTGAAGACATTATGCCCTCTGAAAAATTGTGATATCTTGGGTTTGCCCATGTTTTCAGAGGTTTCTGACAGCGCCTTCAAGTCAGAACCCTGCCCCTTTTCACCTGAAATGGGGAACACCGATTGGTGAAAAGAAATTCTGTGAGTAAATAGTTTGAGGGGGTCATACTTCACTGATCCGCTTCCAAAGATGTAAAGTGAAGAATGGACACATGTTGACCTGTTTGGTGGTTTTACATCCATAAGTAAAGACTTGAACCCAGAGTGAAGCAGGCATGAATGCGCTCTCACAGCCCAGAGTGAGGTTTAAATACAGTTCTCAACACATGGATAACGACATCAGGGGCCTCCAACCTCCTTCACCAACAGACACACAGGCAAAAATGTCTTCTCCTTTAAAGTGTCCGCGAGGGAAATAGTGAATTTAACAGTGAGACCCTTAGATGGGGTATTGTGACTGTGTCTACAGTAATTATTTATCATTTATTACTGTCGTGGGCATTTGAATATTAACAAATAAATGTAATTTCTAAATCCTCTGAGGAGCTAGTTGGAAAGGGGCCATAGGTTGGAGACCCCTGTCAAACATGACAGATGCTGATGCTAATTTATGATGGTTTTTAGCATATGTTTTTTAATGAAGTAAATACTACAGTGATATTTAGTCTAGTGGTAGCCATGCTAATCGTTACACTGTAAAGACTAGCACTCGGGCTAATTAACAGTAGTGTTTCTGTGTTAAATTACAAACAGCACAAACTACAGCTTCTATGATGTTACTGAGCAGATCCTTGAACCTAAACATTTACAGACAAACAGATAAACATACCTGCGCTCAAACGCCTCTGAGACACCTTCCGCGCACGCAGGTCAGCTGGGAAAACAAACAAACATTTCCATCAAGGAAAGTGAACTTCGTCTATACTAAGCACCAGCAGAAAAGGGTATTTTTTTTCCTTATGGTCTCAAAACTATAATTTTGTTTAGTTTGTCCACCTTCAAAGCCCTTTACACCAACGAACCACAATAGACTGCATGTTTATACACACAAGACTCAAACAGGAGCACAAACTAAAGGCTGCAGCCGGAGAGGACAGACAGACCATATCAGTCATTTGCCCATTTCTGAGTTATTTTAAGCTAGCTTGATTTGTTTCTTGCCATAAACCCATAAAATGTGGTTTCTCAGCTTATATTTTAGCTAAGAAACACGTAAGATATTGTTCTCGTCTAAGACTGTATCTGGGTTTGTGCTTATAGAATTCAGACTTACATTTGGTTTTGACTCGAAATTGTAGAATATTTCAGTATTTCAGCGCTATGGGAGGGAAGTCATTTTCGAAAGAAATGTTAAAAAATAATTTGTCCAAATGTTTTCCCTAATAATAATTTAACAGTGATCAAATTCACCAAACCATAAAGTACATTATATATATATATATATCGATAAACATATACATATACATATACAGTATATTCACACACACAAAATCTCTGGCTTTAGCATTATAAAGAATCTAGCATAAAATCTGTAGCTTTAAGCATAATAAAGAAGCCAATATAAAATCTCAAATTTTAGCAAAATAGAGAAGCAAGTATAAAATGTAATGTAGAATTATTCAACATATTTGTAAACTCTAAACCCTCTTGGAGCTACTTGGAAAGGGGTGACAAGATTTAGGTTTGGAGTCCCCTGATTTATAGACATTGAGAGAAACCAGACCAGACCAAACCAGTTCACAACAGTCAAATGGACGGGTTCCTCCTCACCGGCCTTTGAAGCGATGTTGTCAGCCATTGTAATGTCCTTGATGGTTTTGAGCAGAAGCCTGGGACTCTGTGTGGATCCCATGGCTCCCTGTCTGTGCTGGTTCCTCTGCTGCTTCAAGGCCTAAGGGAAAAAAACAGAAAAAAATGATAATTTCCAGCGTGAGTGAGAGAAAGACAGCCTGTGTGTGCCATGGTCGTGTAAGTAACACCGACGCCGCAGTGCAGAAAGCTTATCTAACCTGAGTATTGCAGAGTTTTTCGAAGCTAGCAGATTTTTTTCGCCTTTTGTTCCTCTACCGAAAAATTGTGAATGCAAATTACCCACACGCAGCAGAAAAGTCCACCCCGGCACAGATGGGAGTTACAATCAGTGCAATCGCAAGGAATTTAATTAAATGCGAAACAATAGAGCTGGAAATAGTGACAACAGTGGCAAGGTAAGGTTATTTGTTTAGCACAGTTTATGCATAAGACAACTCAGAGTGCTGAACAAAACAAGGCAATTAAACAATTAAAATCATAAATAATCAAAGTACATTAAAAAGAGTGAAGATACAATCCTTCAGTTTTACGCATAGAAATCGGAAATGCCACCTCCCCCTGTTTCGTGAATGAATGCAATGGTTAATATTTATATCAATCTGTTTATTTTTTGTTAATTGCTTTATCATGCTATTGCTTGTATATAAGTACAATGTATATTATTATTATTATTATGAAGAAATTAAATAATATCTAGTTTTTTCCCCCAAACAATTGGACAAACTTGGAAGCGTGTAATGTAAGAAAGTTGAGGTTAAAAATAGGAGTAGATTTACATGGTTTGAGTTTGCATGTTCTCCCTGAGTCTGTGTAGGTTTCCTCCAGGTGCTCCGGTTTCCCCTGCCACTAAAAGGATGTACAATAGCTCTTTCTGGAACTAGGACTCCAACAAAAAAGATTCTGAAATCTCTCATTCAGTACTAGACGAGGTGAATATATTTACAAGGTTTAGTCAAGTCTGTTACTTGTTCCAATCCTGGTGGGTGTGGTAGAAACTAAAATAAAAGACGGATAAAAGATGTAATAGCAGTGATAATGTGGGGTACCTGTTTGAGAGCCTTCTTGCTGTGCTTCTGCGACGGAGAGAGCAGTTTGGCCGTGGGCAGCGAGGGAGAGGAGCAGCGTGGCTGAGGCGACGACGGCTGAGGCTGCAGCTTAGAGGGAACTGACAAAATAAAACAAAATCATGTTGGAGAATTCCACATCCGCACCCCGAGGCAAACACGCAAACATAACTGCTTTTGTTGAGAGGAAACCTAAACTCTACTTTGCACAAAGACACAGGTGTAAGTTACGCAACCAAAATCCTGAGAAGAAAAAAACACTTTTGTTATTGGTTTAGTCCTAGTTCTGGTTAAGAGCTGACCCACACCCATATTTGGTTCTAATTTAGATCTTTTCTGGTCATTGTCAGCGTGTGAAAAGGTCTTCTATGGCCCCCTAATGGACATGAAAGTTCAATGTCAGTGAAACCCCCACTGAGAGACAGGGCTATAGCGTGTTATACATAATTTTAAAGCCAATTTCATCCAGAAAACAACCATGCCATTTATATTACAAACAATAATTGTCAATGTCATCCAGCTTCATTTGTATAGCATATTTACAACAACCCCAGCCGCCCAAAGTGCTTCACTATACAAAAAAAAAATGTTACATGTAAACCACTAAATGTTTTTTTTCACGCTAAATAAAGTAATCTGTAAATCTATAAATAAGTCCTGCAATGGTTTGATGTCATTGTACCACTATGACACCACACCAAGTTTTTTCCATTCATTAGTTTTGGCGATTTCTCAGGTGAAAGGACGGTCTTTATAATCACATGTCTCCCTCTGGTGGCAGCAGAGAACAAATAAACCAATAAAAGGAAACTTATTATGAAAAACTCCTCTTCCTCAGAAGTTGCACAAAACACAGGGAAAGTGGCAACAGCAGGTCAATCATGCAATGCACTATTTTAATGTGATAAAAAGCCAGATATTAACTAAAGTAACTGTTAATATAACAGTAACAACAATGAAAGGTCCACAACAACGACTGGGACCTGGTCAAATCCTAATATTTTACACTAATATTGTTGAATATGTCAGCAGTGGAAGCTAACCATGACGCACATACCTTTTGTTAGCAACATATTATTTAGTAATCCAGGGGAGAGGTGGTGAAATGTGTTGGATTGATGTTAAAAGCTAAAGAGCGTTGTGCAAGCTGCAGTTTCCTGTGTTGTTTCGAGATGATAAAGGGCGTAACGCTCTTGTAGCGCTAAAGCGAAAATAAAATTTAAAAGGGAGGGGCTAATGTCAGTGTGATTCGTTCATATTTGGACATTTAAAAAAAAAAAAAAAGACATGTTTTCCCATGCTCCAGTTATAAGCCAAGAGTGAATTATCATTGAATATTTTAGACAAGTCTGAATCTTAATGTTGATCTAAAAGTTTAGTTTTGGATGTTTAATAACTCAAGGTACATAAGTGTACCTGTCTGGTCTTATTAACTTTGACTTTTCTCTATATGCAGCTTATTTCTATGTAATTATTTTTAGGAAATTATTAGTATCTTAAATGTGAGGAGTGTATAGCTGCGTTCAGACCATTGATGGAGGCACTGTACTGCTGCGATGCCACAAAATGCAAGGCGGAAGTGGTGGGCGGAGCTTTGAGGCAAACAAGGAGGACTTTACACCAAAAACCACGAGTTTAATAGTGGCTTCTGGTGTAGGGTCCTCCTCCACAGACGTCATATAACAGCAATAACTGCTCACGGAGCTCACATGAATAAATTAATTGTGACCAATCAGTGAGCTTCTGGAAGCTGAGCATGATAAACAGCTAACCAGAACTAGCCGTTAGCAGTGATGGTGGTACCTCTCCTCATCCAGCGGCCGCGGCTCTGCTCTGGACTGATGGAGTTCTCGGTGCTCTGGGAGTCGCTCATAGAGTCGCTGCTGCTCTCCTCTGAATCCTCGTCAGACAGATCCTTCACTGAGCCTGAACTGTCCTTCTGAGACAAACACAAGAAGAAATGTGCATATCAGGAGATTGGTTCATGCTAGCTAATTAAGGCATTATGGTGACATTAGCACTCCGTTCGACTCCTACCAATCTCCTGCATATCAGGAGATTGGTTCATGCTAGCTAATTAAGGCATTATACACAATACAATACAATTTATTCTTGTATAGCCCTAGGTCACAACAGAAGTCATCTCAGAGGACTTAACAAAACCATTGAAATCACCAACACAGGTCAGAGAATCAACAGTTAACACACATGAAGAATATAAAGCACACACAGAAGAAAATGTCCATACATGTTGTAGAATGCTAAAGTGTCCTGATCATCACCAATCCTTTCTGTTGGACACTAACTGTCCAACAAGACCCTCCTGCATCGACAAGGAAAAACTCTTAAAAAACCCAGTGGGAAAAAGTGAGAAACCTTGGGGAGCACTAGGGAAACCCACAGGGAGGGAGACCCATTTGAGAAAGGGATCCGCTCCTCTGGACGGACAGGCTAATGATCTAGGACCTAAGCTAGCTACAGGACGTGGACCAGTGGCCGCTGAACGTGGACAGGTCCGGTGCAGGACCGAAGCACTCCCAGGCGGGTCGGGCGGGGCAGTCCGCAGGTGTAGATGGAGGAGGCCAGGCTCAGAGATCCCGTCATCGTACATTACATGGTGACATTAGCACTCCGTTCGACTCCTACTAAATTATATTTTTAATTTATTTAGAAATTAAAAATATAAATAGACAATAAAGATATGCTATTGTTTTGTGTTCTAGATTTCTTTCAGGATTTAAAGATGCATTCATAGTATCCTATTGTCTCCAAAAAATGATAAAAGATATTTTGGAGCGGACCGATAAAAATAAACCAATGGGATGCGTTTACCCCCTTCACCCTCTTCCTGTTTCTCGCGAGTAAGCACCCGAGTTATTGGATTATTTTCTAAAACCTAAAAGTGCTGAACAGAAAAGGCCAATTTCATGTTTGCCACCCACTCTCCCCGTTGTGACATAGAAAAGAAAATTCTGGATGTTTGGTTTGGTGGAGAGGCGAGGGGAGGGGGGAGTAGTTTCGCGTTGGTGCTACGGCTAAGCTAACAACATTGCTAACTGCATCTTTAAGAGGGCATTCAAATGAGGAAGTGAGGCGCGCACACACCATCAATATCACCAATGCTCTATTCTCCTGAGACCAGCGTGGTACAGGTCGACACCAGACAACAGTTGGTGAATAGTTTAGACCTGTGTTTTTTACAAGGACCACTGCAACAGCCCAGACTCTGAGAGTAAGAGCTTCACACAACCCGAACACAGCTCCACGGCTTGTTACGCTGTCATTAAGTGTGGTCCCTTGAGTGTAGTTTTAAAACCTTCACCTGAGATACATGTGAGCAAGTGCTCTAGACCAGTATTTCTGTGAATACCAGTTCATTCATCAGTCTTTTTGTCCAAAAACAAACTGAGACAAATGCTATGTAACTGAATTAATCTGAAACTTGGATGATGTAGTTATTTATCTGAAATGTCTGATCTTCCCTCACCTTCAGAGTGTAGACGCCCATCCGACCCGGGACCTTGTAGAAAATGCCCTCGTCTCCCCGAGAGTTGGTATGAAGCATGGCGTTCAGACAGGCCAGCGGCGACGTGCCACTGAAACACAACACAGCTCTCAAATAACAGGTTTAGGATGGGAACATTCAGACAGAGGGGGTGGGGGGATGTGTTTGCGCCAGAAATTTGAGATTTTAGCGTGGATGGACCTAAACACAACTTTAGGTCTGTTTTTGATGAAGAACTATTATGAACAAAAGGGATTTTCTGTCACACGCCTCCATGTAGAGGAGAAAAGTGAAAATACATTCTAATGTTATCGGCAACATTTAGACATCATAAATATACAAATACATATTCAAAGAGAAGTGTTCATTTTGGATCATTGCTATATATTACAACTGACTCAGACAGACTTTATTAATCCACAAGGGAAATTGTGTTTAACTGTAGTCCTTTTTGTCAAAAGACAAGGAAAATACTAAATTAACATATTTTTAATAACTATGGTAGTAGTAGGATAAATTTAAGCCTATTCTCGGTTTCAGCTCGAGCTTTTATGTCACAGAGTGTGACGTCTGTAACTATGTTATATTGTGACAGTGTTATTGTTAAAACATGCAAAAGAGACAACTATGCAAAAGTGCAGTGAGGTTGAAGTGAAGAGCTGGAGCTACGGTTCGTCTTACCTTCTGGGTGAGACCAGTTAGAAAAAGACAGAACAAATTCAACTATCACTATAAGAGGCATTGAGGAGGATTTCAGCTTACTGTAAGCAGTGTTAATTTTGACAAGAAATTCTAATTTCTTTTTAGTCTTACCTTTGTCTAAAATGTTTTTTAGTTTTAGTCACAAATTTAGTCATCTGATTTAAACATTACATTCATCTAGTTTTAGAACAATTTTAGATGACAAAAATATAAAGCCATTTTAGTAAATAAAAATATACAACTTATTTTCTGAAACATCTTGCTCATTAAATTTTTATAAATAGGGACATTTTTGTACAAATACGTTCAGTATTATTGCTTGAAGCGTACGATGAGATGACGTGACATGAGGAGCTTCATTACTTTACTTTACTTGTTCGTGTCACGTGAACGCTACAAAAACATTGTTGCGATCTTGATTATATATGTAATATCATTTGGCACAATAAAACAAAATAAAGTCTAAGCAAAGAAAAGAACCTTAGAGTGTTATTCATTTTCTGTCCACATGATGGCGTCAGAGCAAATGAATCACCTCGAAGTAGATGATACTATTGACTCTTGTCCAATAAACTCATAGTAAAAATAAACAAATGTTTGGTTTGTCTTTTTCAGAAGACAAACAAATATTTACCTGAGCTCTACCTTCACTTTTTAGATGTATCCCCTGTTAAATGTGTGGAATAGTTCCAGTAACTCGGCCTTTGGCAGGATTCAAGCCTCTCTTTTAAAACTCATATTCATAAGATTTTCAACAAATTTAACTATTCCTTACAAACTTTCTATATCGTTCCATCAACTGCTTTAATTGTTCCTTTAGGAAAAGGCTTGTTTCTCAGTTATTTCTTCCAATCCTTGATTATGCCGACATTGTTTATCAAAACACAACTGCCACGTCTCCACACCCCTCAATACAGTCTATAACAGCCTGTGTAGGTTTGCTCTGCGCTGCCCCTACAGGACACACCACTGTGACATGTTTCTCCAACTGTCTTGGTCCTCACTGCCTGCACGTCCACACTCCCACTGGTTGTTTTTTATTTTAAATAGAATTATTTTAATTATCCCACATACTTGATACAATATCTCACACCTTTCAGTTCCACTTAAAATTGTCGTCACACTGACACAGATACTCTTTTCTTCCACAGCCCCCATGTAAAAAAGAAATAGGAAATAGTTTCTTCTGTTGTGTTAAGTTGTATTCCCCATCATCAGCATTATAATGTATTTCATTTATATTGTACTTTATTGTAGTTATCGGGGGGAGAGGGTAACCTCTGAGAACTGCATTGACAAACCTTATTTCTTTCAGTCGTTCTCTCTGGATCACCTGCAGGATTTCTTTATGGCTCATGGGAGTGTTTGGGTACTTCTCCAAAACCTACAGAAAAAATAACACACATCACAATCACATAAGGACACAGAAACATTATGGAGAAGTATAGAACACTGGAATTTGATTATGAATATAAGAACTTTATCATTGAAGTCTAAGTTTTGTGCTACACCTTACCATCGATAACATCTACAAGAAAATGAACTGAAACTGTAAGGATGTGTAAATGGGGAAAATGTTTAGAAATTGGGGTACGATTTATGTATAAAAGTACAATATGACATTTGTTTATATGTATTGTTTTGGGGCCTATAAGTTAATGCAGCTTCCTGAGAGTTCTCTTTTTAAATGCCCCTTATGACTTGTTGAGAACCACAAAGTTTGTCTAATGGACTAAGATATGGTTAGCCAAGTTTATTGATATATATAAGATAGTCTGTTTGTTTCTATACACATACACACATTTAACAACATGTAGTTGTTAACTTTTCTCAACAAAGTCTAATGCCTTCCTTAGACTTGTATCCATACTCATTCATGCTTTTACTTCAGTACTAAAGAATAATACTTTGGCTACGTCTAAGCTGTCCATGTGACACTCTGAAGCTGCTCCTGTCATTAGCATGTTAGCTAGCCCGTTAATCACCTCACGTTACTAGCCAGTTTAACTACATTTAATTAATCCATAATTGCGTTGATGACAGCTCGTATGCGTTATAGACAGGTTAAATGTGTTACACGAGAAGGCGTTTATGACATAAATAGTCACTAAAAAGCAATGCGCTGGGTAATAGTTCAAAGCTGCCATCTCAAAACTTGTCGACGTTAGCACACAGCTAGCATGCTAACTCTGCTAACACAACAACACTGCGCTGCAACTTCACTACGAATTTATTGTACTCCATAACAAACGCACACGGACGTTATACTATCAAATAAACTATAAAATGGGGTTGAAAAAATATTTTAGAGCAAACAAGTGAACGAAAGGCTATAAAAAGGTAATAGACGGATTATGACAGCTAGCTTACAAGTTGTGATGCGCGAATGCCTGGCTTTTCATAACAGTACTGCCCCAAACTCCCAGGTATTTCGTTACAAAGCAAAAACACCAGTTCGTCGACTTCCGTAACGAGTTTAAGCTGTTAAAATGGTACAATCTTTAGCATTATCAAAGAAAGAGAAGTGTTAAGAAGAAATACTACATGTTTCAATTATGTGATACAATAATAAGGTAATTCATATGTGTAACAGCTCTCACTTCTATTATGTTTCTTTGTGGAAACATTATCATGATAAAAAGTGTAATATCAATACATGAGAATTGAAATATGCGGTTTACAATGCAAGCCATGTAGATCTAACTGTAAATCTGATGAATATTGCATTTTGAGTATTTTCAGGTATCATACTAAACCATTTCATGCTACATAGAAGTTCTTTAACTTACTAATTACCGTTTAAATTGATACAAAAACTTTACAATGTAACTAATATTTTTCCTATTTATGTTTCCACCGGCACCATTGAATCTGTACCATGTACTTTTTAGTACCTGTTTGGCCCTGGTTCTGTCCCGAGGTGGCCCTAAAGTGTTCTAACTGACAGTGATTGGCCAGAGTGCTGCTGGAAGCCATGGTTACCAAGGAATTTCCCTGGATACTGGTTTGTTATGAATTGGTTGCTGGGATACGGTACCAGATACTAGTAGAGAGTAGAGTAGAGGATACTTGTGTAAAATATAAGTAAGTTGTATCTTATTGAATAAGTGTTAGTAATAATCAAATTGCACTCATGTTTGCCATCATAACATAACACAGGCATGTTAAACTCAAATCCAGCCCGCAATGATTTTCAACTATCATCATCACAGTAACTTGCAGCATTGATAAACTGGGATACTATGGCATGTTACACTTCATTTTAAGCCTATTCAAGAAAAAAAACATCACCAAAATGTTAACAAAATTGTGATTAGAAGTTATAGTTAATTTTTGTTTTGTTTTTTAATATGTTTAACAATGTTCCATTACACTCATGTTTGATATTCGGCAAAGCTGTAGATAATAATACAATGAAAAACATTTTTTGCACTTCTGGCCTGGCTGGTCTTATGCTTGTAAATTTGACCCCCGATAAAAAATATTGACATATTGGCATTGCACACTACAAAACTGTCACTGCAACTCCAATCTGGACTAGTCAGGAAATTAACCCTGAATTAACTACTCAAATATATTTATGCATTTAGAACTTTTTGCGCAAAGACAGCAGCTATAAACGGGTGTATATTCTCCAATCGGGCGAAATGCCTGGACTCCAGCACAGGCCATGAACTCAGCGCAGTTGTACAAGTGCGAAGCCGAGCGACCAGAGTCAAAACAACCACAACAAACGCAACAAAACCGCGGATAGTTCACCGTTTTGGCCGCTTCTGCCCATGTGCGACCCTTCTTCTTCCTCTGTCTCTCCCGCATGGTGGCTGTGTTAGCGGGAGACGGGTAGGAGGACTTGTGAATGTGTAAAAAGCTGGTTCTGGTCCTTCTGGTCACGGAGAGGTGTCCACACAGGCGGCCATATTGGACTGTGCTGGTGGTCACGTGGCGGCGGCACTACGTCATCTGTCTGGGAATGATCGGGAGACAGACGTGGTGATGTCTGTGATGTCTGTGATGTCTCTTCCTTATGATGTTAGTATAATCACGATAAAGCAGGACTGTTTAAGGATAATGGTGATGATCCAAGACATTTAACACGATAACTCCAGAGCAGTCCATTTGACGGGATTTAATAGTTTGTAATTACTCAACGTACTCAACATGTTTGGTTTTCACAACTTTGTCTTTTTCTGTCTCTATGTGTAGTTTATTTCTGTGTCATTATTCTTATGAAATCATCTTTTACTTTTGAAAGGAGAGTAGTTCTACCTTTACCTCCCAGAGTTCTAGTTACCATAGCAACGTAATGTTTCCTTTCTTGTTTCTTGGAGTTAGGCCTTTCAACAATCTGCTTTTTGCTGTATCTCAACATTACAGTCTATAGCCCTATTCAGACTGGATTCGTTTTACATGGGGACCCCTATTTGTGATAATCGCAACTTGTTAACCAGTTTTAGTACTTAGTCAGAGTGAATAAAGTAAAACATTTTTTTTTTTTTACAGGGCTTAGGCTGTATATTCAAGACTGAGGCTGTAGACCCAGGACTGAAAGGAACCGGAGGGGGTTGGAGTGAATCTAATTACTATCAAATAAGGAACTGGGAAAATATATTTACTTTTTCCTCTTCAACAGGTATCTCAAAAATTGCATTGCAAAGTTGCATTGGCACTTGCTGAAATACTGAAACAAAACTCTATACTCTACTTTCTTCTGCTTTGTAATAAACTGCACTTTTGACAAAGACACCACAATTCAACACATATTTATGTTTATTTTAACATGTGCACATTATCACAAATATAAAAAATAAGGCTGTTAAACCAAAGAGCAAATACATTCTGGCTTCAGCAAACAACAATCATGGAGAGAGTAAACGAGTCCCTAAGAGCTAAAGATAAACGTTAAAGTCTTCAATCTATCATTATTATTGTGCAAGTCACTAACAGCAGATATGAATGGCAAAAGGCTTGCATCAAAAGTACAATAGAATTCATCTGAATGTCAAAAACTCATTCAGATCTACGCTTTGGCTGATGTGCTGAAAATGGTTTGGTTCTATTACTGTGTACTACTATCGCCATAACAACCCATTCAAATATATGTCATTACAAAGAGATATGGGCGATTTCTTGGCTCGTTAACTTGGTCCCGTTACAAAAAAACCTCACACAATGCAATTGTTTAAAGCCACCGGTGACAAAGAAATATGTGTTGTGTATTGGGACTCTGAAGAGCACAGGGACTGGCCTCCTGCTGGTCCTAGAGTCAGGACAAAACATGAGGCAGCGTTTCAGATTTAGGCAGCTATAGTCTTCCTAAAAATGTGAGACAGGCTTCTTCTCTGACAATGTTCAAATTCAGGTCTAAAACAGTTCTGTTTCGCCTCAACAAATGACGGATTTTATCTTCACTCTTTTTAATCTACTGATTTTGTAGGACTGTAATGGCTTGTGTTATTGTTTCTATCTTCTTTTGTTCAGGACTTTGAGTTGCCTTGTCTATGAACACTGCTTGAGTCTTACTCGTAGAGATAGAGTGAGTTGCACAGAGCAACATTGGTTAGAATTCAAAGCAAAAATAGAAAAACAAAAATATCAACGATGGCAGTCAATAATCATGCATTTGTTTGTGCAAAGTCACATCACAACATTTCAATAATAATTGTAAGCAGAAATGAAATACTTTAGTTTAAATGCATTGGTTTGAGACTTGAAGTAGTGCAAATACAGTGTTTTATAACTATCTGACTGAAAACTTGGAGCTAAAGCTGGGGTATACAACTTAATTTCATGAATAATTTGTGCATAATGCATTCTGTTCCTCTATGATGTCTGCTTGTTGTGACTCTATGATGTCTGCTTGTTGTGACTATGATGTATCCTTGTTGTGACTATGATGTATCCTTGTTGTGACTCTATGATGTCTGCTTGTTGTGACTCTATGATGTCTGCTTGTTGTGACTCTATGATGTCTGCTTGTGGTGACTCTATGATGTCTGCTTGTTGTGACTCTATGATGTCTGCTTGTTGTGACTCTATGATGTCTGCTTGTTATGACTCTATGATGTCTGCTTGTTGTGTCTCTATGATGTTTGCTTGTTGTGACTCTATGATGTCTGCTTGTTGTGACTCTATGATGTCTCCTTGTTGTGACTCTATGATGTCTGCTTGTGGTGACTCTATGATGTCTGCTTTTTGTGACTCTATGATGTCTGCTTGTTATGACTCTATGATGTCTGCTTGTTGTGACTCTATGATGTCTGCTTGTTGTGACTCTATGATGTCTGCTTGTTGTGACTCTATGATGTCTGCTTGTTGTGACTCTATGATGTCTGCTTGTTATGACTCTATGATGTCTGCTTGTTGTGACTCTATGATGTCTGCTTGTTGTGACTCTATGATGTCTGCTTGTTGTGAATCTATGATGTCTCCTTGTTGTGACTCTATGATGTCTGCTTGTTGTGACTCTATGATGTCTGCTTGTTGTGACTCTATGATGTCTGCTTGTTGTGACTATGATGTCTGCTTGTTGTGACTCTATGATGTCTGCTTGTTGTGACTCTATGATGTCTGCTTGTTGTGACTCTATGATGTCTGCTTGTTGTGACTCTATGATGTCTGCTTGTTGTGACTCTATGATGTCTGCTTGTTGTGACTCTATGATGTCTGCTTGTTGTGACTCTATGATGTCTGCTTGTTGTGACTCTATGATGTCTCCTTGTTGTGACTCTATGATGTCTGCTTGTTGTGACTCTATGATGTCTGCTTGTTATGACTCTATGATGTCTGATTGTTGTGACTCTATGATGTCTGCTTGTTGTGACTCTATGATGTCTGCTTGTTGTGACTCTATGATGTCTGCTTGTTGTGACTCTATGATGTCTGCTTGTTGTGACTATGATGTCTGCTTGTTGTGACTCTATGATGTCTGCTTGTTGTGACTCTATGATGTCTGCTTGTTGTGACTCTATGATGTCTGCTTGTTGTGACTCTATGATGTCTGCTTGTTGTGACTATGATGTCTGCTTGTTGTGACTCTATGATGTCTGCTTGTTGTGACTCTATGATGTCTGCTTGTTGTGACTCTATGATTTCTGTTTGTTGTGACTATGATGTCTGCTTGTTGTGACTCTATGATGTCTGCTTGTTATGACTAGTCTGTTGCATGTGAATAATGTAGGTGATGTGGTTGGAGCTCATCATTCATGTGAGAGTTGTCTATTCAGAGAATAATGAAGCCTTGTCTGTAATAAGGTCCTGTGTCCTGAATGTTCAAGGATAACGTTTTTGCCCTAAACTAAGTGTTTGCGTCAATTCATGTGCAGACATAAATGTCACAGAGGACAAGAGTCTTATTTTCCTCCATGTTTGTAATTCTGTCTGTATCACAATATGTTAAGAATCACAATAATATTGAATTTTGGCCTAAATATCACAGTACTCATCACTATCACCGCACAATTTTTGCTAATTCCCAGCCCTAACACTGTCTTCATCTCATTAGAAGATCGTTTTCTTTTGCATAAGCTAACAAAGAGCTCAGTGAGTCACTATTTGAGGCTTTAGGCTGAGGCTAAGCTGTGACTAGCCAAAAGAATCGAGTCACATACCTACATTACTTACCATAGTTGCATTATTTATTGGTAGAAAGTTAGATACCCCAGCTTTAAAAAAGGCAGTGATACATTTCTGCAACAAAACCAGAGATTTTAAAATCCACATTAATGAGTACATTCAAAGTGCTTCTGCTATTCTCAACATGTGCAAAAGTGAGTTAAATGCTACTTCTATTCTTACAAACAGATGTCGATACGTGATGAACCTGCTTTCATCCAGTGTCCTGGTGAAATATCCACTTATTTAAATCATACTTATTGAACTTATTGATACTTAAACGCCATACGCTGTTTGGAAATATATTACAAAAAGCTGCAGCGAGGACTGAGGTCACAGAAGAGCTCAAAAACTAAGTCTACGTTTGTCTGGCCAGCCAAGACTTCACGCTACACCTGTGTACAGACATCTTTAAAAGAGTAAGAGCATGAATGGGAAAGCTACAAAAAGGAGTGTTTCAATGATGTCTGGTGGAAAGAGGTGGACGTAAATGACTAAATAACAAATTAACAAGTACAAGTAAGAAATATTGTTTTCAGCATATTTCTCTATGGAACAAATATCTTATGTATCAAAGCCTAGACTGTACACCAGAAGAGGACTTAAAACAAGGCTAAGCCTGAATGCAGAAAAAGCAGAATTTCAACATAAGCTAGCTGGAGCCAATTTCCTTATATGGGCATTTGTTCTGACGGGTTAGCTTTGCAAAATAAGAGGGGCAGAGTATTGTGAATGAAGGCATCTGATTGGTCAATCCTTTTATGGCTCTTACAAAGACATATCAAAATATAAACTCCGGAACCACAGAGGGCGCCAAACCAAGATTTTCTTGTTGTGAGACGATTGGTTACTGAGCTAGAGGAGTTTACTTTTCAAAGCAAGACGAGGAGGCAGGGCAAGTGGGAGCAATAGACTGTATATAGGTTGACAATGGACAATGGGGAAGGGCTCATGAACAAAGTTATGAGCCAAAGATATGAGTCGTATAAGGATTGACCCGTAAGAGACTCTAGCTTGCCTTAGCAACCATCGTTGCAACACGTCTGCCCTGTTCCAACACAAAGCTAACCCCGTCGGAACAAATGTCTGTACAAAAAAAAGGTTCCTGAAAACTTATGTTCAAGTCAGCCAGTCAGCCTACTCCTAAAATGTTATACCAAAACTTCTCCATGAGCACTTTCCTATTATGAAGGAAGAAATCTGGTTTTAAAACAATGCAAGGGTAGAATAAAAGAAATGCCTTGCTCCAAACCCAGGTCTGAGGGGTCTGTCATGCATGTGTACCACCACTAGGGGTCTGGCTGCAGAGGGGGTTGATGGGACATGTAGGCAGCAGACGATGGCCTCTGTCTGGTGGAAGGGGCGGAGCTTGGAGACGCAGAGGTGACGTTAGTGGAGGAGGATGAAGACGTGACCGAAGCTCCGTCTGGGGCCTGATACCTGGAGGAAGAACAAATCAATAACATGTCTTGTACCGCCCTAAATCACAACAGTAGTTATCTGCGAAGACTTAACAAAGATGTCAATTCGCCAACACAGATCAGAGAAACAAACAATTCATACACAGGAAATGCAATGATAAAAACATAGAAGGAAGAGATGACCACTGTCCATAAATGTTGATAATGTAAGAGAACAGCGGATCCACTTTTGTCTCGGAATGATTTTCTCAAGTTTAAAGTCAATAGAGACAAATGGGGACAATCCCATTTCTGAATGAATGTTTGAATGACTTTATTTGGACGCTAAGGAAATGTCAATGCACGTACAGTAATGAACCAAGGTTTCCTGTGTTTGTTGTTGTTGCATTTCTTGTGTTTGAACTGATTGATTCTCTGATCTCTGGCAAATTGACATATGTCTACATCGACAGTATCTATCTATCTATTTATCCGTCTATCCATAAATCTATCTATTTACACGTCTCCAAATTAGAGATCAACAGTGCATTTCTCACCAGGAGCGTGACTTCCGGACCCGTGTGGATGTGAGGGACGTGGTTCTGCGGCGCATGGGGACGTGGAACAGGAGGTCAGGGAGCAGCCGGGGAGAGAAGGCCCGGTCCAGCTGCCCTGTGTTCAGGCTGAGCGAGAAGAGAGTGGGGGCCCCCATGTCCAGCTCCAGGAGCATCACGTTCTCTGCCTGCACCAGACATGACCGTCAGACCAGGAGTTAACCTACGGTATCTAGGTGCTAGCATACACTCAGGTGCTAGAATACAGTCCAGGGGCTAGGTTCAGGTAGTAGTAGTAGCATTAGCAGTACTAGCAGTTGTAGTACCAGTAGTAGTAGTAGCATTAGCATTAGAGGGACGCTCTAACCTGGTATCTGGATGGAGCTCCCGCTGCAGCAGCCTGTTGTGCAAACTGACTGATGGGACGTTTGTATCCAACTGCACTGAGAGGTCTGCGCCGCACACAAGACACACTGTAACACACACACACACACACACACAAATACACATACACACACACATAGAAACAGACACACAAACACACAGACAGGCGTTAATATATTTTTCCACCTTTTCACCAACTTTACTTTTTACCGCTCTTACTATTGAACCGGATTCCCATTAGATAAGTGCTTGTACCTATGTGTAAAGTGCTTGTACCTATGGGTAAAGTGCTTGTACCTCTGTGCGGGCAGTACTGGCTTCAGTCTCCACTGATCCTCTTCATTGTCAAACTGCAGTCGCGCCGTGATTTTATTCTTCTCTTCAGGAGGAATGAAGTTCTCAATCAGGAGGAGTCTGAGCAGAAACACACACATCTCCGCTTAAGCCTCGTTTCCACTGTCGACCTGACCTCGTATGTTGTGCACAGTGTTCTTGTGCACTAAACAGAACTTAAGTTAGAATATGCAATATAGAACTGTCTCTGTGTCCCAGAGCCTCATGCTGCTAACATGCTAACATATGTACACATACAAGATACAACTATATATTAATGCACTGGAATATACACCAGTTTCTACTTGCTCCTTCTTATGCTAAAGTTAGATATTACATACTGATTATTTACATGCTTTTATTGTATTATATTTTAGTATAGAGTTGTTGTTCACCTGTGCTCTGTGCTGCTCATTCCAACTATTCTGTAAGTTGTGACGCAACACTGGCATTTCTCCACTGTGGGAAGAATAAAGGATCTCTTTCTTCATCTTAATCTTATTCTACTCTACTTGGTTGTGTTTCCATTACACTATAATATCTGGTACCACATAACTGCTTCCCACAACAAACCTGTATCCGTGGAAACTGCTCATTAATCATGGCTAGTATGTAGAGCCGAGTGGAATAGAGTAGAGAAGAGAATCTTTGATGGAAACCAGGTGGAAACACAGTAATAACACAGCAGTAACTTTCTCACTTGTACTTGAGTTCCCGTGTGAGCTCCAGCTGCGTCTGCTCCAGCTCCTGTCGGTTCGTCACGTGTTCGTCCACAATGTCCTTCATCTCCAGCTTCACGGCCTGAACCCGAGCAAAGAGCTGCAGAGGAAGTCGTTAATTATTTATTCTGATCCTGTTTTACATGTTCACTTTTGAATACCCCAAACCATACAGTGCAGTAACATTACCTATAGAGAGTTAGGATTGTTAATAGTAGTAGTAGTAAGACATGTAGCTTGCCTGAGTCACAAGATGGCGCTGTGGGCCTTATGTGACCTGTCCATTCTCCTATAAATGGGCAAAATTCGAAAATTCGATGGCACATGTTTGGACCTAAACTGTTTCTAACCCATGGATCTATTATAATATCTGGATAGGGTATTACCTGCTTGGAACTGAAGGACCCATGTACTTGGGGGATTTGGTACAGCAGACTAAACAAGACTCCACACTTTAGAGCGTCTGATTGGTCATATAGCGTCCGAGCCCCTCTGTGCATGTGCATGAAAGCCCCACACGCGTATTTGGAGAAAAGCATCATGGGAGCATGTTCACTGCGCCGGGAGGACCAGACGATGCCCAAATATAAGCGAGTTTCGCTAATCTTTCAGTGCCCATGGCGGCACATGGGCCACTGTGCACAAACCACTGATTTGAATAGGGCGCCATTTTGGTTTGCCGGGGCTTGTTCTCACCGTGTTAATGACAGTGGAATGTATTATGTTATTGTGGATGACCTCTGATGACATTTTTAGTCTGTGGTTTGAGGAGACACATGTTTGAGAAACCATTAAAGCATAAAGAGGAGATCTATAGTTGTAGTAGTCGATGTTTTATTTATTCTATGTTGTATCACGATTGTCCTGGGGTGTGTAGTGTTGTGTTGACAGACTTCCTGGTGTGTGTACTGTGTTGTGGAGACCGACTTTCTCTCAGGTCTCGTCTCTCACCCTGCGGAGTTTGCGAGTCTTGATCTCGACCTCCTGCTGCAGCGTTGAGAAGGTCTCCTTCATCTCCAGCGTCTCCTCGTCCTGCAGAACCATCTGCTGCTGGATCACCCGCTCTCGCCGGATCTGGAACACACATACGTTACAATTACCGGAAATAAAAGGTTTGTCTTTCACAGAGAATGAGAACCAGAGCTGCTTTCAGGGCCACAATACCATGTATGGACTATAACAAGTCCTGAAGAAAACAAAATTATCCTTGAACATTCAGGACATCATTAACAACAAGCAACAAGCACCACCTGATGGATGTAGTAGGCAAATGTGAATGACCAGAGTAAACTCAAACTAAAGTGAAACAGATAATTCTTTAGTTAATATTACAATACTTTTCTCTATTATATCCATTTACTGTGTGTTAAAATACACAGTAAATATCAGGTTACTTAACAGAATTGATTTTCTCCCACTGATTGATGGTGTGATTGATTCTAGTGATTGTTATTGTTACAGGAACCGTGCTGAATAATACATTGCTAAAAGGAGAGCAGTGTTTTCCCAGGTTACAGCAGGAACAATGCCTCTGCTCATCACTAACTACTGATGTACAGCCATCGTCCCTGTGCTCTTAATTGCATCTGCTGGCCTTTTTTTTTTTTTTTCTTTTTTTTTTTTTTACAGTTACTTGCACTTTATTTTGTATTTGCTTTGATTAAATACTTCCTTGTGTTTTTGGTTCTTATCATTTTGCCATCATGACAGTATAAATGTTGTATCATAGATAGCTAGTAGACCCACGCTTTCTGAAATTACAACATGACTACTTCTTAAACTATTTTGACCTGAAAAGGTAGAGAGAAACCTGAGATTTGGCATCTGTCCATCTGTTCAAGACCACAGCTTTAATCACAGAAAAGCACCGTATTATAAGTTTGATGATATGTTTTACAAGACTCAGTGGTTTACCTCATCTATTATGGATCTCCTCACAGACCGTTCCCTCGACCTCAAACTGCTGACGGAGCAGACTTTATCTCATTACATCCTTCTTCAGAGGATAACGTTACAAGTTTGCAAAATGGCCGGCCGATAACATTTTGTCCAGTCTTTTCATTCATTTTCTTTCCTAATAACCCAAACTATTCTTCTGGCTGTTTGCTTGAATTATGCCTGATTGTCTGTTTCTATTGGCCTAACAATGTATAATGTCCTACGTGAATAAATATGTATTGACTGAATGTGAGCCTTGTTCATTGTTCCCATATTCTTTTATGTATCATCCCAGTTTAAAGTGATAGTCTGTAACTCTAAATGAATTACAAATTTTAGGAAATGTTTTAAATTGACCTCCTGGCCTTTAATGTTGATATAAAATAAGTAATTTTATTAATTCTAATATTACAGACAAATCCCGCCTTCCCTTCTCTTAGCCATAGCTCAGAATCCACGGTGCCGTCGAGGTTAACCAATCGAGTCATGCCAAGGGCTGTCAATCATCGGCGCTGATGCTCATAGCTCTGCGCATGCTCAGTTGTTTGTTTAATAATAGCTTGTTCCGGGTTTGCCGCGATCACATTTTTGTGCATAAAAACATTATTTTTTTCATTAAAACGTTAACAAATAATTCTGAAAACCTCCGTGCATGTGTATTAATAATGTATATGTATAATGTGTTCTCTCATTAACATTTAAAAGTGTTGCGGAAACGTAGGTGTAGACCAATCAGAAAGGAAGGGGGAGGGAGCTAGCGTCATTTTTTTCAAATCAAGTACCTCTCTGTCTCTCTTTCTGACAAACTCCAGACAATCACTTTAAATATAATCTATTTAATTGCATGGAATTGTATGTATGAATGTACTATTGCTCTTTTCTTTATTTGCTTGAAGAATATAAAGATCATTATTTAAAGTAGCAATTTGTAAGATTTTCATGTCAAGTCACGGCCCTAATCTGTCAAAAGGCATTATTAAAACGTGCTCTTTTCAAATACTTCTTTAACTAATAACAGTAGTTCAGCCAAGATATTGGAATTTCAAGATTAGTTTTACAGCTCCTAAATCTTGTTTTCATTTCGATGTCCCGCCCTCCACTGTTTTACCAATCAGAAAGTCTGTGATCCGGGTTGCCAGGACTCACCGTGTCGAGCTAATCTCACTGGTAAAGTAAAATGTGGCTGCAGTACTTAAAAAGGTTTCGTTATGATTCTCAAATCATTGATGACAAAACAAGGAAAAAAAACAAGGATTTCTATCGGGGCTTTTGTAAAAAATGTGTTGGTTATAGATTTGTTGTTGGCAAAACTCTTGTCTATACAGCTATGATGGTCCCAGCTGGATTCGTCTGCATATCTGGCAACCTGAGTCAGGGAGAGTGGGAGAGGTTGCAGTACCACCTTCGGCCAGATTTGTATACACTGCTCCTTTAACAATATTGACAAAGGTTTAGCTACCTTTATTAGCTGTCCGTTGGATTGGACTGCCCCTGATTCAAATAAACCCAGCTCTTCACCACTGAGAAACAGACACAAATGAGAAGTGGACAACACTATCGTCCTCTTGGTCTGGTCTGAATTTAGATGAACAAACACGTATAGATACAACGGGAGCCTCTTATTGGCCGTGTATCAAAGCTGAAGGTGTGAGTGTGTTCTCTTCCTTTGTTTCATTATTTGCAGATCAGTTTGAGGGGGTTAGAGTTCGACAGAAGGAGCCTCATTACTGACCATCTGATCCCACATCATTAACATGTAAACGAGACTTTTCACTGCTTCATGTCTGTGTCTGGCCTGTCAGAAATTCTTGTTGGTCCATCCTCTTTTGTTTTGGCTTTTTTAATCATGATTTAGGCCTATGTGATTTTTCTCGTTTGCAGAGGACATTTTTTCGGTTTTATGTTTTGAATTGTCATTGCCATCTGCCACGAGACAGGCCTGGAAATAATGACACGTTAATACAAAAGAAATAGACTTTTCAAGGCTTTTCTCCATGTTTAGAGCCTGTCTGAGACCTCCCACGGTGATTTGGTTGCTATGTTACAGAAGTGGATGTGTTTTGGTTCTGACCTGCTCCGCGATCTGCTGTCGTCGTTGCTCCAGTCGTCTCTGCTGCTCGTTCGTGTGATCGATGATGGTTTTCCCACCAATCAGAAGCTTGCTCTCCATGGCCTGACAGAGACAGAGAGACACGCACAAACACACAGAGAGACACACACACACACGCACACACAGAGACACACACACAAGCACACACATACAGAGAGACAGAGACACACACACACACATGCACAGAGACACACACACATACAGAGACAGAGACACACACATGCATGCAGGCACACAGAGACAGACTCACACACAAACACAAACACAAAGAGACACACACACACGCAGGTACACAAATACACACACAAGCACACACATACAGAGAGACAGAGACACACACACACACACATGCACAGAGACACATACACATACAGAGACAGAGGCACACACACAGAGACAGAGACACACACATGCATGCAGGCACACAGAGACAGACTCACACACAAACACACAGAGACACACACACACACACACCCAGGCACACAAACACACACACAAGCACACACATACAGAGAGACAGACACACACACATACACAGAGATAGAGACACACATATACACACAGAGACAGAGACACACACACAAACACACACAGAGACAGAGACACACACACAAACACACACATACAAAGACAGATACACACACAGAGACAGAGACACACACATGCATACAGGCACGCAGAGACAGAGACTCACACACAAACACACACACAGAGACGGAGACACACACACATACACAGAGACAGACACACACACATACACAGAGACAGACACACACACACACACACACACACGCAGGCACACAAACACACACACAGAAACACACACACATACACACACAGTCACACACGCAGCTGTTTAATACAAAGTTGGAGTGGTCTTGGTAGAAACTGATGTAAGTCTCGCAGTTACTCCAACGTGGTTATACTGCAAACGGCAAATAAACTGAATCTGAATCTGAAAGAGGCCTGAGACAAAAATAATAATAACGATTAAAAACGAACAAATAATTGGTTTCATGCAGAGCTTTATGGACACTCAGAGACGCTTGTAGGATGAACTTTGCCGTTATTGTGATTTATGAATCGCTCAAATGTGAAACAGAACATGACTCACTCTGGGAACACCGGGTGCCACAGTGGGGCGGCTGCGGCTGTAAAATGCCAAACTGTGGTTGTCTTCCTCGGCAAGACACTTCACCCACATTAGAATGAGTCTGGTGTGTGTGCCTCTCTTCTGTCAGTGTGCCCCAGGGCAGTTGTGGCTATAGTAGTAGTTTGTATGTACTGTGTATGAAGTGAATGAGAAATAACATACATAAAACTACGACTTCATTATTAGCTGGCTGAGAGCTGATTGGCTGAGTGAGGGTGGTTCTCTCTGATTTGAGTTGATCTAAAGAAGCCAAAAATACAAACGTGTAAAATCTACGGACAGAACTGTTTTGAGAGCGAGGAACTATGGATCTTACTCAAAAGACTGAACATTCCTTATCGGTTTGAAATGTAGGTCCCCTAGCTTTAAACCACAGTCTCTCACCGCTCCCTCTCACCTTGTACTTCTCTATGATCTTCTCCAGCGCCTCCTGGTCCCACTGCACCTCATCCACACTCTTCCTGTTCTCATGCAGCAGTTTGATCTTCTCCGCTCTCCCCTGCTCCTTCTGCGCCTCCTCCTGCTCCTCTTCCAGAGCCAGCCCCCTCCACAGCTCCTCCTCCACCCCCAGACACTTGCTGAGCCTCTTGGAGTACCTCCTCAGCCGTCGCTCTTTGGCCAGCATCCCTCTCTCCTCCAGCTGCGCCTTCAACCTTGCGATCTCTGCCTGGAACTCTCTCAACAGAGCGTCTTTGGGGTCTTCATTCACTCTTGGCTTGTTCTTGATGTTTTTGGCACGGCTCGCGTATCTCAAAGTGGCCAAAGTCTCTTCATAACTCTTGCTGGAGGGTCCTACGGTCGCAAGCATCACCGTTTTGGCGTTGCCTCCCAGCGAATCCTGCAGAAGACGTGTGAGTTTGGAGTCTCGGTACGGGACGTGTGTGCTCTTGCGGTCCACCAGTGCAGAGATGACGTTCCCCAACGCCGACAGAGACAAGTTAATCTTCGCTGCTTCCTTCAAACGCCGTCCCTTAGCTCCGGTTTTGCTCTGGCGCTCGCTCCCGGCTAGGTCCACCATGTTCAGCCTTCCCACGCGGATGTGGTCCTCTCCGTCGGGGCCCGTCTCGCTGCATTCGACGGTAATGAGGAAGATGGCGTGGGACCTGGAGCTCCTCTCGTTCATGTTGGTGAAGCCCACCGACCTGGACTGGTCTCCGAGCCGCATCACATGCTCGATCTCTAGAGCGTTCTTGGTCACGACGGAGGACAGGTCTTTGACGTAGACGCCGTAGTCTGAGCTCTCCTTCAGTTCCAGCTTCCTACTGTTGTCTTTCCGCAGCAGGTCACGTATCTCCTCCTGGTAAATCTCCAGATATGACGATCGGACCAGGTACTTCTGGTTTTGTGTGCGAGATATCTGAGTGAAAACATGCTGGAAGGAGTTGGGGATGACGCCTCTGTGGTCGGGGTCCATGGGGTCCCCCTGCATGGTGTGGGTCTTCCCTAGAGGGGAAAAGATAATATTCCATTATTCCGTTCAGTATCGCGATATTTTGTGGATGAAATTAAATTTATACATTAGAGCAAAGTATTGTCCTAGCACTAATCATTAGATAATGATTAGCGAGGCGACAGTGGCTCAGTTGGTAGAGCGGACCAAGCCCGGGCTTCCAGCCCTCCAGGTTCTGCGCAGTGGTTGAGCTCCCATGAGGGTTTGCGCCGAACACTAACACGCACTTGTGTGTGTCTCTCATGAACGTGCACATAGGGGCAGCATTCTGACCAATCAGAGCTGCTGTTCAGAGTAGAGCCGGAGTGGGAGGAAAACCAGCAGAGTTTGTTTCACTAAAGTGTAGATTTATAGAAAATCAAGATTTTGGTTTTCTATAAATCTGTTGATAGGTATGGTGGAATGTGGCGTTCTCAGTGACTGCTGTTTTGACACTGCAGTCCAGGAAACGGCAACCGGTGGTTGGAGAAGTGATTTCAGAAGTGGCTTGTGTCCGGCCTGATCACCTGTGCACATTTCATGTGCTGGTCATATTTTCCTCCTCCAGGTACTCTGGGGTGGAGCTCGACACCTAGGGATGTCTGTTTCACTGTTTCACTTTAGTGTTTTCTCTGGTTATTTCCACCTGAGGTTTCTGTTCCTCTGATGTCTTCATGTTGTGTCCTGAATGTTCAAGGATAACGTTTTTGCACTTCAGTTCATGAGTAGACCATACTAAATGTCAGAGGACAAGAGTCAGAAATGGATTAAGGGGAAGAAAATGGATGGATGGATGGATGGATGGATGGTTTGTAATATCTTTGAATAATATGAGGGACATGAATCACAATATATCACAACATTGAATCGCAATATACTTTTTAAGAATGTTAAGAATAGCAATGATATTGTGGCCCAAATATTGCAATACCTGCATCGAATCCTGACATTTTACCAGTTCCCAGCCCTGGTCCTCACCTGTCCCGGTTTGTCCATACGCGAAAACGGTCCCATTGAAGCCGTTGAGGACGGACTCCACCAGGGGTCTGACGGCGTCATCATAGACCTCTCTCTGCGTGGAGGAGCAGTCGAACACCGCGTCGTAGGTGAAGACTTTCATGGGGTCATCCGGAGACGATTTGGGGTTCCTGAGGGTGATCTGCCCCAGCTTAGCGTCCACCTCCAGAATGTTTTCACACGCTATTTTCTCTTCTTTCTTGCTGAAAGGGCGGCAACGCACCACCACACGCACAGACTCGCAGATCTTTGCTTTCTGCATGGTCACGAGCGCGCAGTCATATTAATAATTGTCATGTTATTGCCCAGGAACCAGAAAGAACCAGCCAAGACGCGTGCGTAAAGATCTCCTCGCTCCAAAACACTGCGTAGCGTCAATGCCTTTCAATGTGTGGTTTCTCAAGCAGATGATCCATGACGGTCTGGAGCCGAGTCTGGAGCTGAGTCTAAAGTCTGGAGAAGATGCTGAGGAGGAGAGAGAGCGCAGAGCATCACGGCCCACGCCCTGATGCGCACAATGGAGGCGACACATGTGACGCCCCCACCCCACACGCGCGCGCGCCCCTCTCTGTTTATGATCGATGACACGAGGTGGAGGAGGAGGAAGATGAAGAGGGAGCGGTGGAAGTCTTTGATGCCTTGATGCTTTGACCGTGTGTTGACGTCATGCATGAGGTCATCGTATGTAACGTTATTGGTCTAGTACTTTCAGCGCCGTTACTGAAGATGCACCGTTTTAGCCTCTAGGCCTGGTTCGGACTGAAACTAAAATAAATAAGAATAAATGTCAATGACAAATTGGTCAAAATAATGTGAAAAGAAATTAATGTGAGAAAATTAGAAAGATTATTTGTGCTTGTTTCATCACTTTGCCTTCATACTAAAAGATGCAAAGTTTCATGTTTGTATCAGTTTCAGGTGTGCCATGTGATCGTTTTTATCATGTCTGGTTCAGTGTTCTTGGGTGTTTTGAAAGGCGCTTTTAAATAAAATGTTTTTTTTATTATTATTAACGTCAACCAAAAAGGTGTGCCATGGCTACAAAAAGGTTGGGAAACACGGGTCTAGATTTTGTCCTGGCTGGGCTCTTTGTTAATGTTTTAGAGTCCCATGTGTTCCCATGTTCTCTTTAACATGCTGCTGTAGAGCCCCAATTTAAAAAACCCAGGTTGGACCCGACTGATCTTCAGAACCTTAGGCCTATATCAAAGATCCAGCTCTTGGCCCAAAGTCCTGGAGAAGCTCGTTTATAATCAACTTACAGCATTTTTGGAGGTAAACCAAATTTTTAGCCTGCTGCGAGGCTTTTGACCGTCATTGTTACAGATTCATGCTTTTGACCCTCACCCACAGGAGAGCCCATATTTCTCTAATCGAAGTCCTTACACTGGATCCCTGTCTCACATAGAATCAATTTTAAAATTCTGTTGCTGACATTCAGGGCTCTTCATGGTCAGGCGCCTGAATACGTCCCCGTCTCCAACAGGAGCCCTGGGTCCTCCACTTCTCACCTTTGGAATGAGCTTCCCCAGTCTCTGTGCATGTCAGTCTGCTGATTATCAGTCTTCTGTATTTCCGTTTTTAAATCCGACTTGTTTGTACGTTATTTTTATCTGTACGTTTTTAAATGTGAAAAGGTTTGTGATCCTGGTCAGTGAAAGGCGCAATACAAATTATCTTTACTGAAAATACGCCAGACGACAGATTCAATTACAAAACTTTATTGTTTTAGACATTTACATGAACTCTAATGTACAAAATAAAGACACTTGGACAGACATTCGTTCTCGTTAAAAGTTTTCATAACAACTGCATTGAAAGATAGTTAGCATTCCCCCATTTTAATTTAAATTATTCAACACCAGGTACAAAAGGCAGCAGTGTGAGCTCCTCTGCTGCTGTGTTCTGCCTCCACGCTCTCAGATATAAACGTTAGGCACATGTTTGTGGAGTTAGGAGTTTATTTATCGTCAAGTGCTTTGTGTCCTAGAGAGACGTCTGGGCGTTTCACTTGTAGAACTTCTTGCTGGCGTCGCTGGCGTGATCCAGGAGCAGCTGACATGGCGTGAACGGACTGCCGTACACCGACTCGAAATGCCGCATCTTTGCCACAAGTTTGTCAGCGCCGAAACTGTCCAGGAACCGGAACGGGCCTGAGGGAACGGAGCGAGAGATGAGAGTGAGAGACTGAGTGTAGGGCTGAAACAACTAATCGATTAATCGACGACTAATCGATTATTGAAATAGTCGACAACTATTTTAGTAATCGATTAATCGTTTTCTGGTTCACACGGACTCAAACAGAGCAAAAATGACATGAAAATGTAGTATTTTTGATTAAAACCGACTTTGTTTTTATAATTTCATGAATATCTGTCTGTCTCATCCAATCAGATAGCAGAATTAGCACAAAGAGCCTGTTACAAACATTTACTTTAAGTTTACGCCATCAATACGTCCGAGTGTTGCCACTTTAGCTTTTTGTGATAAAAAAATATTTTTTTTCTACACAATTCACAGCCAAGCGATTACTCGATTAATCGTAAAAATAATCGATAGATTAACCGATTACAAAATAATCGTTAGTTGCAGCTCTAACTGAGTGGTTTCTGTTATTGATTATAGTCGTCGACCATCTGTAGAACTGATTATACTCTTCTTTAAAAACCATTGTGGAAAGTCGCTGCATAGTACAACCAACAATGTGGTTGTGTTTTGAATTTGTGGTACTCTTTGGGGTCACATAATATATTACGTTTATTCTTTGTATAGTAAACCACACCCACAGTTGATCTACACAACATGAAAGTTAATTTCACCTTCACCGTCACACTGGCTGTTCTGACCAGTGGGGGCGGGTCCCGGCTCAAAACGCTATGTTCCAGATACTGTCAATGCCAAGGGGATCATCTTTTTTGGACCAGCCTAGTTTAGCCACTGTGGACTTTTGAATGAGCACGTGTTTTCAGCCATGTGTCAGGGTGGATCCATCTAACGCACATGCAAAAGAGTTTTTACCCTTTTCCTGCGGAGGGGCTACTCGCAGCCATTTTGATCACACATGCATTTAAACGGAGGAAATAGGAGTCACTTCGCCCGTAATATTTACAGTCTATGGTTCTGAGCCAATGTCCAGTGGTGTTTGCTAGTCTGTGACAAACACAGTCCTTTCTATACTAAGAATAGCCCTTACCTCCGAGACAGGGAGGGAAGCCCAGGCCAAACACTGCCCCCACATCGCCCTCTAGTGGACTGTTCAACACTCCCTCCTGCAGACACAGCAGCGCCTCGTTCACAAACCGAGAGATCAGTCTGTACTGGATGTCAGAGTCTGACGACCTGAAACAGCATCAGAAAAAGGTTATTACAGAGCAGATACAGACAGACAGATCCAGCTCCTCACTCACACAGAGGGATTTGCCGACAGTTTGTATTTCTCCAGAATCTCATCCATCTCTGTGTTCAACTCCTTCGATTTGAGGCCTGGCTGGTACACATAGCAGCCTTTGCCAGATTTGCGACCTGGAAAGACAACATTCAATTCAATTAATTTGTATCCCTCTAAATCAGGGGTCTCAAAACGGTTCCAGAAAGGTCCAGCGTGGAGCAGGTTTTACTTCAAACAGTTCCAAACTGAGCAGGAGCACAGATGACCCATTTCCTCAGGTGAGTCCAGTTTTAACCTGAACATTTGAGGAAATGGGTGGAGTCATCTGTGCTCCTGCTCAGTGTTAACTGTTGGAACTAAAACCTGCAGCCACATGGCCCTTTCTGGAACCGGTTTGAGACCCCTGCTCTAAATCACAACAGTAGCAGTTTACTTGAAGTTTTTGTCAACACTGATCAGAGAATCAAATGCATAAATAAAAACAGAGCCATCTGTCAATAAGATACAGAGACCATCGTCCACATGAGTTGGATCCTCACCTCTGTCTTGACATTATATAGTGATTCTAGGAGCTAGCTATGTAACCTGCTTACTCTCACTTTGGATTGTCCCAACATACACAACATACTTCTCCTTTTCACTTTTCTGTCTGAAAAAGCTGATTGAAAGCTGTGACTGAGACTATAACATACAGAGAGAAACTAGTGACCTGGGGCCATATTCCTAAAAATTCTTAGTGCTAAGAGTGTCTCTTAGTGGCCAAATTCTAAGAATATTCTTGTGAAGATTTGGCCCCACTGTCATCCCCTTTTATGCTCATTGACCAATTGAGCCAGAAGCAAACACTGTTCCTCTGTCCAGTTAGTTTCCCCTTTCTTTTATTCTTCATTGTTGAAGTCAACCAACACAGCTTCTTACAGGCTGGTCAGCAATCATAGCTGTGCCATTTTCCCCCCGTTACACCAAAGTGAATAAAAATGGTAAAAGTTAAAGAGAAAAAATGACCAGCATGAATTTAGAGCCTAAGTTTTCACACATTCTGTAAGATTTAAAAGTATAGCTCACTATTCACAGCATTCATTTTACATTGACATATTTACCTATCCATCTTTTATGCTGAATATTATTTACAATGACAGTCTTCCCAAGATTAGATTCCATGATTAAGTTTGTCCATTTGAGGATCCTTATTTTGCCCATTATCACCAAACGTACGTTTTTTCTAACTTTTAGGATTAACCAATCACAGCGTCTGAAATGATAACTCATACCTAGCAACGGGGTCGCCTCGCCTCCTCACCAAGATAGTTTTTGTCCATTCCTTGCTCAGAATTCTCTGATAATGTTGTGGAACAACTTAAACTCCTAGCTAGGAGTCTTAGCTTATTAGCTTAAATTATGAGCACTCTGAGAAGACTCAATCAGCTTTCCCCCAGCTTTAATAACTCCTGCGTTTGTGTTTACCCTTAAATCCCAGGTCCACCATGGTCTGCAGCACCTCCACGTTGCCGCCTCCAAACCTTGGTCCGAAGGCCTTGCCCAGGTCTTCGGCCACGTGAGCGGCGACGTCGATGCCCACCTCGTCGATCAGAGTCGCGGCTCCCACCGGGAAACCGAAACTTGTGGTCAAACCGTCCAACTTCTTGGCGTTAGAGCCCTCCTATAAAACACAAGAGACAACAATGCATTTCCTGTGTTTGAACCGTTTGATTCTCTGATCTGTGTTAACGAATCAACAACTTCATAAAGTTCTCAGAGATAACTGCTGCTGTGATTTAGGGCTATACACGACTACATTGAATTTAACAAGAGGTGAATGTTTGTCCTTTGTGACTGTTGTGTGGTTTGTGTGCTGCTGCTGCCTCTCTCCAGGATCCACCCAATGGAAGAACTGATTGGGACCAAACACATTCAAAAAGGCTGTCAGGAAGCCCCATTGGCTTGCCTCTCACCTCACAGCAGCAGTCTTTTAAATAAATATCCTATTTTTGTACAATTTTAAATCATATGTGGACTGTCTTTGTTTTGCGTACGTCCCTGTACATTTGTCTGTCTTGATTGTTGTTGTCCTTAATTAAAAAACTCAATTCCATTTAAACATGAAAGCAGCCCCTCACCTGAAGAACCCGGATGGCTTCTGCCAGGATGGGAGCCAGACATCTGGTGGTGTAGAAGCCTGGTCCGTCCTGGAAACACAGCAGCAAGTATCAACAACAACTCAGTGCATTCTTCCCTTTGATTAAGCAGTTCAAGATCATAAACAGGTTTGACCTGTTCAAAATATTAAAATGATTGACAGTGACACCCTTCAGTCCCGGATCTACAGCCTGTCCCTTCATGCGAGTGGATCCTCTCTCACTGTGGGTCTTCCCGAGCTTCCTCACTTTTTTTCCCACTTTTTGTTGTGCCTTGCCAATACAGGAGAGTCTCAGGGCAGTGACGAACCAGGACATCTATTGTGTGACAACGTCCTCTGAGATGAATGAGATGTAATTTAGATGTAATTTAATGGAATAGGCCACCATCTTGGACCTGGGGCTTGAAGCAATGGCTTTTGGCTCCTAGAGAAACTTTTCCTGAACTTTTAGGTTTGTTCCCATTCCGATTTACCATGAGAGAAGCAAGGCCCGTCCCCCCTCATACAAAACAGTTTGAAAAGTTTGAATCATGTACAAAACTAAAATAGGTAATGAATAAACGGTCTATGTAGTGACATCGGATAATATTGAACTCAAAATGAATAAACTCAACTGCTGTGCACAGTGTTCAAAGCTCAACATCTTCTTGTAAAAAGACTACAGCACATATCTTGAAGAGCAGACTTACGCCAACCACAATGATGACCTTCCCCTGCTTGAGCCCCACGGCTACAGCAGAGGCGGTGGTGTCTTTGGACGTCTGCTCTGTGGTGATAATCTCCAACAGCTGCATTTTATCCACAGGAGAAAAGTAGTGCATTCCGATCACCTGCAAATGCCACATTCAAGAGGAAATGTTAGGCGTTAGTATAGTTTTATAAGATTAAAGCTGTTATACTTTTCATTTCATGTTGTAAAATGTGAAAGACGCCAGGACCCAGGACCGAGAAAGAGAGGCTAGGGACCCAGAAGGAGAGAGACGAGGGACAGACCCGGACAGAGAGAGTCCAGGACAGTTCATGATAACTCCTTTAAAGTGATAGTCTGTAACTCTAAATGAATTACAAATTTTAGGAAATGTGTTAAAGTGACCTCCTGGCCTTAAATGTTGATATAAAATAAGTAATTTTATTAATTCTAATATTACAAGTAAGTCCCGCCTTCCCTTCTCTTAGCTATAGCTCAGAATCCACGGTGCCGTCGAGGTTAACCAATCGAGTCATGCCAAGGGCTGTCAATCATCGGCGCTGATGCTCGCAGCTGTGCGCATGCTCAGTTGTTTGCTTTTGCGGAGCCTCCGAATCAAGCCTCTATTAGGCTCTGGAACTACATGAAAACTGAACAAAGAATTCTGAACATCCGCGCTGAGGTTCTTATGTATATACTGAACCTATATCCATAATCAGATCCTCTGCAGATGTGTCCTATAATGTGCAGTTAATGATAATAGCTTGTTCCAAGTTTGCCGCGATTGGTTTTTTTGTGCATAAATTTTTTTTTTTCATTAAAACATTAACAAATAATACTGAAAACCTCTGTGCATGTGTATTAATAATGTATATGTATAATGTGTTCTCTGATTAACATTTCAAAGTGTTACGGAAACGTAGGTGTAGACCAATCAGAAAGGAAGGGGGAGGAGCTTGCGTCGTTTTTTTTTCAAATCAAGTACCTCTCTGTCTCTCTGACAAACTCCAGACAATCACTTTAAGAATACATTATGGCTATGAGAGATTGAACCTTGTCTGGTCTCTTGCTGGCAGCAGCGATGTCTTTGATTGGCAGAGCGGACGTGTTGCTGGCAAAGATACAGTGAGGAGACACCACCTGCGGACAGAGACTACAGTTTTACAGATTTTACAAAGTGTGGCACAAAACGATAATTTCAAGACTAACATTAGTACTGGAAGAAAAGTAATACACACGACAGCTGTAAAATACTTTACTCATCCATTCATACACTGACATTTATTTATTGGTGGATCTCAAGGGGCTTTCCATCAAGGTAAAAAAAACAAAAACAAAAACACAGTAAAAATAATGGAATCAAAACGTCCCCTCCTTTAACAGGTGTATTCTCCTCACTCACCGCCTCCACCTCCTTGAGCACGGCGTGTTTGATGTTGATGTCCTCGAACACGGCCTCGATGACCATGTCGGCCTTCTCGAAGCCGCTGTAGTCCACCTGCCCCGTCAGACCCGACAAGATGGAGTCTCGCTCGAACGACGTGATGTTCTTCCTCTTCGTCTTGTCGTTCAGACTAAAGGAAATAAGAATAGTGTCACCTTCATCGGTCAGCAGATAACTACTATGTCTTTCACTTAACATTATAAGGATAAAGTGGTAATCTTCTGTTAGAGCAGAGATGTCAAACCAGTCCTCAAAAGGCCAGTGTGGCAGCAGGTTTTCATTCCAACCAAGCAGGCGCACACTGGACTCCACCCATTTTTTCAAGTCTTCAGGTTAAGCCTTTACTACACTTTAGCAACACCGGCCCCAAGTCAATACACGTCACGTCTTAGCCTAAACACGTACCCCTTGTACACCTGCTGTTGTCCTCGTGCAAGTCCAGCTTCTGTCGTGTCTTTGAGGATGGTATGAACTCCTTTGTCCACCGTGACCTGAGCGATACCAGCGCCCATAAGCCCCGCCCCCAGGATCGCCAGAGTCCTGACAAAAACACACAAGTTACGTACAAAGACAACAGAGATGCTACTGGAGAAGTATGGCAACATAAGCACTAGCTACAGCCTCAGTCCCGGAGCTACAGCCTCAGTCCCGGAGCTACAGCCTCAGTCCCGGAGCTACAGCCTCAGTCCCGGAGCTACAGCCTCAGTCCCGGAGCTACAGCCTCACAGTATTTGCACAGTGTTAACACAGTGATAGTTATATTCATTTGCTTATATCAATTGCCATGCTGGTCATTTTTTCTCTTTAACTTTTACTATTTCTACTCACTTTGGTGTAAAGAAGGTAAAATGGCACAGCTATGATTGCTGACCAGCCTATAAGAAGCAGTGTTGGTTGACTTTCAAATATACCACAAACAAGGGAACAACAATGGAGAATAAAAGAGGAAACCAACTGGACAGAGGAACAGTGTTTGCTTCTTGGCTCATTGGTCAATGAGTATTGAAGTATTTTGATAAATAGGCCAATTTGGCCCCACTGTCATCCAGTGTTTGTGGAATATCTCTCCTGCCTCTTCCGTCCATTTTGTCCTCTTAGGCCCCATCCACACGTAGCCGGGTATCTGTTAAACCGCAGACATTTTTCTTTGTTTGCACCTGTCATCCATATGACAACGCATCATAAACGAATATGAATGAATGAATATATATTATATATATATATATATATATATATATATATATGTCACAAACTCCAGTAAATAACAGACAATGTAGCAATTCCGCAGGTGTCCACAAGATGGAGGCACCTGGGAGCAGGAGGACACACCCAAACTCTAGAGAGGCTATAAGTAGGCCTTCCTGTTTGTAGTCCATTGTTTCCCCATTTTATGTTGACCATGCGTCTTTTGTTTCTGCTACAAATGTAAGTACTATTGTTTAAGATTCTTGTGTATTGTTTAATTGTTTACCAGTCTAATATGATGATTATTGACTGAGACATATTTACCCTACTTTACAGAACCATGGCAACTACAAATAAATGTGGGGTATAACAAGCTACAACTGTTTCCTGGTGGTCTGTGTCTCCAGTTCGAACATTTATACACAACAAATGGTCCTTCGTGAGCCGGATACTGAGACACAGCCATATCCATCAGTGACCTGCTATGGATCCAGAGGGGTCAACTACTATTGGCACTGCTACAGCTCCAGCTAAAGCTACTGGCAGTGAATCTGTGGAGGGATCCGGGGATGGATTGGACTTGACCTTACCCTTTCTTGGGGGTAAACTTGATTCGTCTCAGTCTTCACCCAAGCCACCCACACCTGCTGAACAGCCAAAGCGCAGTGTTCCACCTCCTCCCCCGCCCCATGGGTCTACCAGTCAACTACAATCAACACATGCAACCTCTATTACTACTGAACTGTTACTGGATCCACAGAGGAATCCTAGTGGTCAAGACTTGGGTGCTAGACCAAAGCGCATCATCAGACCTCCTGATTATTACGGGGTTTCTGTGCTACAGCCAAATGTAAAAGTAAAATCAAAACCCAAGTCAAGCCATTCCAGAAAGAGCCATTGTACTAGGGCATCTAGTCCTACTAGTTCCACTCAGAGCAGACGCTCTGGGAGCAGTCATATCAGTACTTTAAGTGAGTTGCAAGTTAGCCTCTTAGAGGAAAAGGGAGTTCAAGATGAACTGGAGGAACTACGGAGACAGAAAAGTGAGGACTATGAACTTGATGAGAAATGTAAACTAATTGAACAAAGGGCAAAGAATGCACAACAAATTCAGGAGGAAGCACATAAAGAGAAGGAGAAACTAGTTAGACAAGTGACTTTGGACAGGCGCATTCGCATTAAAGAGAGGGAACTGGAATCCGTTCAACTTGTGTCCAGCTTTATCAAACAGAACCTGGATAGAACGGCAGACCAAGAAGAGGAAGATGTTGGGATTGCAGCTGCATCATCCTTCTATGCCTTACCCATGTCACAAATATACACACCAGGTGCTCCCTCAAGGTTAACACGCGCTGATTCTGGAACTGGTTTGGATTCGCATGAAGCTGCCAGGCCGGCGGAGATAAAACAAACCAGGCCTTCATCCATAATACCTCAAATACAGCTGCGTCATGTACCTCCTGTTTCCATAAGGGCAGCTCCTGATACATCATCATCCAGTCACCCTGCATCTGCCCAGGTAACCTCTTCCTCCCCCACTGCACCTGTCCCAACAGACTCTGGACCTGCCAATGTCATGTATGGCCAATTCACAGCACCTGGTCAGTCTCAGTATGTTTTCCCACAATCACAAAATACAAATATGGCAGATTTGGTAATGGCCTCTGCATATGGTATTCCCCGTCCAACACTCCCATTATTTAAGAGTGGCAGGGAAAGTGATTTTGCACTATTAAAAATGGCTTTGGATAACTTAGTCAATTGCCATTTTCACCTCACAGAACAATATAAGTACCAAATACTTTTAGACCATCTAAAACACCCTGGGGCATATAAACTTGCTAAATCTAGTATGCATAGTGTCAATCCATACTCAACAGCTCTCAATGCATTACAAGAGAGATTTGGCCAGCCAAGGCTATTGGTGCAAAGTGAAATAGGTGCATTGCTAAACACTGCATTTATACGTATAGGTGATGTAGAAGCATTTGAGGATTTCTCACTCTCTGTCAATGCTCTAGTGGGAATGTTACTCTCTATAGAAGGTCCAAACGGTTCAGAAATCAAATGTGGTTCTCACGTTGACCGTCTTCTGAGTAAACTCCCTGTACAGTACAGAGATGGATTTGTCGAATACTGCATCAACAAAGGCATCCTAACCGGTCAAGCAAATCAAACGTACTCTCTTATTGACCTCTCCACCTGGCTACAGTCAAAGGCCAGGGCAAAACGTATATCTGAGAGAGCCATCGAACTGCATAAAGGAGAAAGACCCCGACCAATCAAAGACCATCAACCCTTTCGACAAGTTTCCTCAGTCTACATGTCCACCACAGCGGGCCGTATGTTACCCAGCAAGACGGAAATCCCTATCAACAGTGGTGAGGCTACAAAGGTAAATAAACCTAAGCCCTATTGTCCATACTGCAATATCAGGGACCACTTTCTTGGTGCTTGTGAAGATTTCAAAAAACTCACAAGGAATGACATGATGAAATGGGTCAATGAGAAGGACAGATGCTGTAGATGTGGGCGGACTCATAAGCAGGACACATGTACATTGAAGAAGCCATGTACCACTTGCAATGAACTGCATTTGACTATTCTCCATGATGCTAATACCATCAGAAAGACCACAATAATGCTCACATCCCCACAAGAACATCTTTATCTTGATAAACCTAATCGTTCCCCAAAGATTATGTTAAAGGTAGTCAAAGTACGCCTATTCAATGGTTCAAGATCCTATGACACCTACGCTGTGTTAGACGATGGTGCAGATAGATCTATCATTCTCCATGAGGCTGTCCAGCATTTAGGTCTCACCTCCCAACCCGAGACTATTTTGTTGCGTACTGTGAGGCAAGAAGTACTGCAGGTTAATGGTGCTTCAGTCTCTTTTGTGATTTCCCCTGCAGATCAGATCGATAACAGATATGACATTCAAGGGGCATTTACAGCAGATAATCTCGGGCTGTCAGAGCACACCTATCCAGTAGAACAGCTACAAGAACAGTTTTGTTACTTAAACAACATTCCACTGCAACCTATTGATCATGTACGTCCTCTTGTACTGATAGGGTCAGATTATGCCCACTTAATCACAGCAACTGAACCTGTGATGTGGGGTCCCCCTGGTGGCCCGTTGGCAATACATACCAAACTGGGATGGGCACTACAGGGCCCTGCCAACTTAATTCCATCCCAGTATGATACTTCCTTTACAACGGCCACTTTAAGTTGTTTCAAAAGTGAACTTTTCAAAAACGTTGAAAGGCTCTGGCAAATAGACACTTTGCCTTATGCAAATGAGAAGACTGCACAGAGATCAAAACAGGATGAATTAGCTCTCACAGTGTTGCAGACAAAAACTATAAGGGTGGACATAGGTGGTGTAAAACGTTATGCCACTCCCTTATTGAGAGTCCCAAACACTCCGCCTCTTCAGTCCCCTCCTGAGGCTGTATTTCCTCGTCTTCAGGCTACTGAAAGACGCCTATCAAAGGACCCTGCTCTAGCTGAGATCTATCAGAAGGAGATAGACAAACTTCTTGATGCTGGTTATGTAAAAATAATACCTGAGGAGCAAGTGAACCAATCACCAGAAACATGGTATTTTCCCCATCACATTGTAGAACATAACAATAAGCCAAGAATAGTATTTGACTGTTCATTTGAGTATAATGGACAAAACTTGAACAAAAGTCTCCTCCCTGGTCCAGTCATAGGCCCCAGTCTAGTTGGAGTTCTACTTAGGTTTCGTCAAAACAGAGTAGCCATTTGTGGAGACATAAAGGGCATGTTTCATCAAATACGGCTCTTAGATGATGACAAACCCCTCTTACGCTTTATTTGGAGGGAAATGCAGCCAGACCAGTCCCCAAGGGTTTATGAATGGCAGGTGCTGCCTTTTGGTACAACCTGTAGCCCTTGTTGTGCTATTTATGCAGTACAGAGGCATGTACTAGATCTCAGCGAAGGGAATGAGGAGATAGTCCAGTCAGTGCAGCAATGTTTTTATGTTGATAATTGCGTTCAGAGCCTCTCTTCATCTGAAGAAGCAAGATCTCTCATTGATAAAATGCGACCCCTATTGACAGATGGAGGGTTCAATATAAGACAATGGGCAAGCAATGATCATACTGTAATACAACATCTCCCACCTGACGCAAGATCCAAATCTACTGAACTGTGGCTCTCAGATATTGGTGACCCAACAGAACTAACGTTGGGTTTACAGTGGAATTGCCTGACCGATACCCTGAGCTACAAAACCAGACAAGCCACATCTTATGACCTCACTCTGCGAAATGTCTACAAGATTCTTGCGAGCCAATATGACCCTCTAGGTTATTTAATCCCCTTCACAACACGTGCAAAGATTCTAGTGCAAGACCTGTGGAAAGAAGAAAGAGAATGGGACAGTGTAATTCAATCAGACAAACTAAAGGACAAATGGCAATCATGGGAGAAGGAATTACAGACTCTTCATGTACTCAACTTTCCACGCTGTGTTCTACAGAAACCAAACGGTGCAGAAACCTCAGAGTTCCACATGCATGTCTTTTGCGATGCATCAGAACGGGTCTATGGGGCTGTTGCATACCTACAGGTAAAAACGGAGTCGACACATGTTAGCTTTGTTATGGCCAGATCTCGCATAGCTCCAAAACGCCAACTTTCCATACCCCGTCTTGAGTTATGTGCTGCCCTATCTGGCGCCCAACTGGCTCACCTGTTAAGGACTGAACTGACTATTCCGATTACCTCAATAACCCTCTGGACAGACTCAACAACTGTACTGTTATGGATAAGATCAGAGTCATGTCGTTACAAAGTCTTCGTAGGTACAAGGATCTCCGAAATACAGACTTTAACAGACACTAAAAATTGGAGATATGTTGACTCAAAAAACAACCCTGCAGATGACATAACCAGAGGAAAGACTCTCGTGGATCTATCACAGCCCAATAGGTGGAGCCAGGGACCCCCCTTTCTACTTCAACACGAAAGTTCCTGGCCCACATTTCCTCCTGTCCCAACCAGCAGTGAGCCTGTAGAAGAAATTAGGAAAACCATGGTCTGTGTTACACTAACGACAAAAAAATCAAATGTACCTGATGTAAACAAATTTGACAACTGGACTGATCTCATAAAGGAAACCAAAAGTCTGCTGGATGGGATATCTGATTATGACAAGTCGAACAGTGCTAAACTGTTCATTGAATCTGAAAGACTTCTCCTTCAACAAGTACAAATGGACTGTTTCCCAGAGGAACTAACTGCCCTAAAGAAAAATAAGGAAATACCAAAACACAGCAAACTACTACCCCTCTCTCCTGAATATGATCCGGTCCTCAAACTCATCACGGTAGGTGGGAGACTTCGGAGAGCAGAATCCCTCGACTATGAAAGCCTCCACCCCATTGTACTTGATCCCAATCATATAATAACTAAACTATTAATTCAACATTATGATGACATGTTACTCCATCCAGGTCCTGAGCGTGTTCTAGCTGAGATGAGGCGCAAGTACTGGGTTCTGCGCGGCCGCCAAGCAATACGCAAGTATCAGCACCGTTGTCAAACATGCCAAAGATGGAGAGCAAATCCAATCATACCCAAAATGGCAGACCTACCCCCGGCACGACTCAGGTTGTCAAAACCAGCATTTGTCCACAGGAATGGATTGTTTTGGACCATTCAATGTGACAATAGGCCGCCAAACAGAGAAAAGATGGGGTTTGATCTTTAAATGCCTCACCACGCGTTGTGTGCACATTGAAACTTTTAGTAAACTCGACGTTGACACATTCTTGATGGCATTTAGGAGATTTGTTGCACGCAGAGGAAAACCTTTTGAACTTATCTCTGATTGTGGAACAAATTTCAAGGCTGCTGAGGTAGAACTCAAACGTTCTTTTGAATCTCTGACCCCTACTTTAAAACGGGAGCTGGCCCAGTCACAAGTGCATTTTCAGTTCAATCCCCCATCAGCTCCACATTTTGGTGGTAGCTGGGAACGTGAAATTAAATCCATCAAGTCTGCCCTGAATGTAGCAATGGGGAATCAAACTACGACAGATGTGATCCTAACTACTGTCCTGACAGAGGTTGAGAGTATTCTAAATTCAAAGCCCTTAGGATACATATCCTCCAATGTAGCAGATCTTGACCCAGTGACACCAAACATGCTTTTGATGGGGCGGCCAGATTGCTCCTTACCACAAGCCATCTACTGTGAGAGCGAACTTCTGGGTAAAAGGAAATGGCGCCACAGTCAAATTCTAGCTGACAAGTTTTGGACAGCTTTCATACGCTACTATCTTCCTTCTCAACAAAGTCGTGCAAAATGGAAGGTCGATCAAGAAAACTTAAAACCAGGGCAAGTTGTGTTACTTGTTGACCCTCAGTCCCCTCGTGCGTCATGGTTATTAGGGAAGGTCACCTCAATTCATCCAGGATCAGATGGACGAGTTCGCACTGCTAAAATAAATGTTAAAACCAGAGAATACCTGCGGCCTGTCTCCAGACTGATACCTCTTCCGGAAGTCCCTGATGACGATTGAAAATAGCATATTTGCTGCACAAATATGGGGGCGGCTGTCACAAACTCCAGTAAATAACAGACAATGTAGCAATTCCGCAGGTGTCCACAAGATGGAGGCACCTGGGAGCAGGAGGACACACCCAAACTCTAGAGAGGCTATAAGTAGGCCTTCCTGTTTGTAGTCCATTGTTTCCCCATTTTATGTTGACCATGCGTCTTTTGTTTCTGCTACAAATGTAAGTACTATTGTTTAAGATTCTTGTGTATTGTTTAATTGTTTACCAGTCTAATATGATGATTATTGACTGAGACATATTTACCCTACTTTACAGAACCATGGCAACTACAAATAAATGTGGGGTATAACAAGCTACAACTGTTTCCTGGTGGTCTGTGTCTCCAGTTCGAACATTTATACACAACAATATATATAAAAAAACCCCGGGCAAAGGAGATTTTTGAAAAATAGTGACGAAGCATGGATTTTACTGCCTTTAAAACTGTCCGCTGCGAGTGGTTCGCAGCAGCGGACACCCTCGCGCCACATCAGAGAGCAGCAAAGTGATCACGGGGACTTGCGCTTGAAAACAACCAAAACAGGAGCTAAACCAGGATCAAACCAGGACTGAGGACGGGGGTCAGTGCTTATGAACATATGTTTTCACCAGGGATCTATAACAATATGTCTTCACCCTGACTATGACTGTAAGTGCCGCTACAGAAATACCGGCGTCAGCCTCAAAGCTCCGCCCAATTCTGTGGTTTTTCCCCAACGCAGGACAGGACGTCAGAGGACGCACATGTTTGTTGTGAATGTGATTGAAAACGCAGATGTTCGGCTATGTGTGGATGCAAATAATTTTATAAAACGGGGGGAATATTCGATTTTAACTCATTGAATGCCAGCCTATTTCTGATGATTTTTACTGATTTTTCAAGACCCACAGAATATTGTGTACTATGACTATCTGAAATCCGACACCAGATTCTAAAAGAATGGACTGTCTACTTTCCTCAGCAAAAAGAATTTTGTTTATAGCTTTTTTCGTTCCCCTGTAATCCTCCGTCGAGTAGAGGGAAGTTTTACTGAAATCACCAGAAATCACCAGAAAGTTGAGAAAAAAGAGGCACAACATGTGCACCTACATGTTTTCAAACCATTCAGAGAGCAATGCTGCCACCTGCTGGCTCGATAAAATATGGTCTCAAGTCATCCCCATACATATTAGATACAATAGACATCTGGGAACGTGAAAATAGCAAAAAAGGCAATTGACGGATTAATGCGTCAATGGCACACGACGTATTTGTGCGTCAATGGGACACAATGAGTTAAAAATACCCGGCTACGTGTGGACATGGCCTTAGGGAACTCTTGTGAGTAGAGAGAAGAACTTTTTGCTCCTTGAAAGATCTCACCTTAGGAGCACTCTTAAGAGCTAGGATTCTTTAGCAATAGCTTTTTTCTTAACTAGGATCTACTCTTCACTTTCAGAGGAAATTCTAAGAGTACGTCAAGATTCTAAAAATATTTTTAGAATTTGGCCACTCTGAGCAACTCTTAGCACTTACCATTTGTCCTGCTACTGTAAGAGTGCAAACATTGTCATTTCATAAATTTTAGAAAGTTCCACTTACTCCACTTTCTTCTGTGGTGTTCCGAAGCGGTTCTTTTTGCAGGTGACTTGACCGTGATACAAACCGATCAGCGCCGCAGACTCAGGCGTTCGAGCCAGCTGCCCAAAGTTCTGCATAAACAGTTAATGAACCAAAGATGTCAATACAGTCTTTGATTAGAAACAGAATACATAACAATAGAACAGTTCTACTTCACCTGAGCCTCCGCCAAGTACCCGGCATCTGGGCCTTGTTCCACTCCAGTCTTCACACACTGAGGACCAGCAACAAATCAGTAAAATGACCACTAAAAATATGTTTGATGTCAAGATTTATCATGAATTCACACACAGACCATCTCTCACTTTCTCCCTATTCTATGAACACATTGCAATTTAATACAACAATTTTCCAATTCTAGCGTAAGAACCATGCACATTTACAATAGAAAAAAATTGCAATCTTTTCCTATACACAGCCACATTTTTATATACACAATTTAAATACATAACCACTACCATAAACATACATTCAAACCTAAATATTATGGTTATACAGTTTAGTGAGTTTTTTCCAAGTTAAAAACCAAGGAAAATCACTCCATCCGCTTCCCCTTTAGGGTGCAAGTGAATTACTGCAAAGATCATGAGTTATAAAAAACAGCTTTTTCTAGTGCACTAAAGAGATTTCTGATCGTTTCTTTCACCTAAATATTACGCATCAGTTTTGGCCAAAATATATGGTGAAACAGGAAAGAGAAAGACACACACACTTAAATTGTTTGCATCATTTGAGAGTATAGCAGGAACTTAGACTTTACTCACCTCAATGATTTTGAGCGGCGCTGGATACAGTCCTTTGCTTTGCTTCATGACTTTCCCATGTACCGTCTTGTAGATCTGATTCCTCACCAACTCAAAACTCATGACGTAGTCTTGGATTTCTAAACACAACAAAGCATTGGTGGAAAGTTAAACAGGAATGTGAGCTAACTTTGCTGGAACCTGGTTAAAAACTCTAGGTTTCAGTAACACCTACTTTGCATTGTTCCTTTTTCTTTGCCGAGAGAGATTTTCTTGTTGACGATTCCTTTGGCACATTCCACTGCCACCTCCTCCAGATACTCGATGGTTCGTTCCTCTGGACTCTTCAGACCCGGTCCTGAAAAATGATGTCTATCTCAGTAGTTTTTTTATATTGTGATATTGTCTTTGTAAATTCAGATATGAGCAGTTAGGCTATAGCAAGTAGTGCATGAAGGGTCAGGCCGACATCGCTCCTGTTCAAGCTAGTTTTGATCGGCTTCTTCCACACTAAGGCTAACACTATAGTGAAATACAGTCTAAAAAAAAAAAAACAGAATTACTTACCTCAGCTTTAAGGATCAGATATTTTTCCATAATGATAGAAATCTGAGTCTTACCCAGCGGGTCGATGAGTTGGTCTACGAGCCCCATTTTTTTTGCTTTGTCGGCTCGAATGTTTCTACCCGTTAGCATCATGTCGAAGGCACTGGGGAGACCGACCTACAGTATAAAGAGGTATAAAAATGTGACTACCTGGTATTTTATAGAGACTAGCTACATGAGGCACCAACACTACATGAGGTGTCTGTACATTTTCTTAGCATCCATGAGAAGAATACTTAAGTCAGAAGAAAACTCCATTTCCATAAGAAGATAAATCAGACAAAATGCATTCAAAAAGAGACAATAAAAGTCTAGATAAGGTTGTTTTTCCATTTGATGTCAGCAGTGATCCTTGTGTTTTTAGCCTGTTTTAGGCTCTGAACACATTTTTTATTTACACATTTATTATTATTGTAAAAGGTAGTTTACAGTTTTCTTGCATTCAGGTCATAGTCAAGATGTAGCCACACAGGACTAATAATGATAAATAAATTAAAATATATAAAATAATCTTAAAAATGGCGGCCTTTGTGATTTGCGTAAAATTGCAAATGCTTAATAAGGCAAAACATTAATAGTAATAGAAAACATCAGTTGGACTGTGACAGATCTGTACTCACCATCTTGGGAAGCCTCTGAGTGCCTCCAGCTCCAGGTAACAGTCCAAGCATCACCTCAGGAGTCCCCAACACAGTCTTCCTGCTCTTTGTGGCCACTCTGTACTGACACGCTATGGCAAACTGTAAGAAAGAGCACATTTATGTAGTTTTTCCATCCTAAAATTAATTGTACTTTTATTTTTGTGAAAGTATCTGTGTCTCTGCATTATGCAACAGCTTTAGAAGAAGTACACAAACCAGGAAAGAGGTCAAAATTGGGAGGTTGATCTGATGCACGTAGGTCATTAGCATAACTTTAACACTTTTTTGCAAGACTCGATTGTTTTAACACAACCTCAGGAGATGAGCACTTAGTCTGTACCATCATTTAGAGCGAGATAATCGGAAATATCAGAACTTCAATCAGATGGCGAACTATAAATACGAACTGGAAAGGGCATTGAACTCCCTGAACTCTGCTGCACTACCCACAAGGGGTCCACTCTACCCAGTCATTACTCAATGGTTTAGTAAAAATATGAATTAAATTATATTTTGAGGAATTCATTACAAAGCCTATAATAATAGTATATTACATAGAAAGTTTGGTACCCAAGCGATAACAGTCTCCCAGAATCTCACTCACCTCCAGACCTCCTCCTAAACACGATCCGTTGATTGCAGCGACAATAGGCTTGGGAGACTTGGCAACCTGCTCGAACATCTTCTGTCCTTCCTGAGACAGTTTGGTGACCTCCTCCTCACTGCTACAGGCCTGGATCATACTGAGAAACATCCACGGATCAGTATCAAGATAGAGATGGGAGAAATTACTAATTTTTAGATGAATCGCAATTTGCATTGGAAGAAACAGGAACAATTCACAAACATCCAAATTCAGATTATTTAAATATATAAGTGAAGCGGAACTGAAATACAGTAAGCAACATCTTTGAAACAGAGCGCGCATCCACAGAATACTCCTCCAGAAAAAAAACCCAGCAGCATACCACCGATGAGCTAACCACCCCACCTCGCCGTGAGATACGACCTGCTCCGGTCGCCTCGTACGCCACACTTTTCATACATACTCTCACTGTTTACTCCAAGGCCCACAGACCCACAAACACACATAGCTGTTGGTACTGAAGTAGTAGTTAGTTTAAGCTTGAGAGCATTTTTGTATTATTTGTACTTATTATAATGAACACACTTTATAATAAAAGCAGAAAAAAGCGGTATGTTCAAATGTTCATATAGTTCCATGGAAAAAGTGCATCAATATACATGTATTAAAAATGCATCAATAATCGTTTTATAAATCTAATCAGTATCTGAATCATAATAGATTCGTGAGGTGCCAAGATTCCCACCCCTAGTATCAGACGCAATGAGAAGGTTAATTTATGCTAGTCAACCCTAAAGCATGGATAAGTGGACAGCCGGCTACTCAATTCGAAATGTTTCTACATATGTTTATGTAAATGTTTATACATATGAGAAACAAAAGAGATTACCCCAGAAAAGCAGCAGTATAAATATACATTACAACAACGATTCAACTTTGGCGCGCGAGGAAAAGGCCACATAAGAGAATAGTACAATAGTAGCCATTGATAGCGGATTTATAAAAATATCTAAACTTTTCGTCTTAATCTCATAAAATAAGTTATTCGTTGCATACTTCTAAAAGAAAAAGACAAAAACAGCCCAATGAGTCACCATGAGACACTTGAGTGAAGGTAGACCCCCTTTCACTTTTGTCTGAAATAGTTGATCTAAAGACGTGTCAGATGCAAAAAATACATGCGAAAAAACAGTGATTGAAGTGTTTTGAGAGTGAGGAAGAAGATTGATTGAATACAACAGTAAGATGTGGGGTACATCAGCATTAAGCAAATACAAGTATACAAAGAACGTGGAAGCTATTCTTGTTTGCTTCCACAGTTTGTTGAAGTATATCAGAGCACTCACTTGATGTCTGCTCCTGCGATGAAGCAGCCGGGTTTGGAGGAGATCAGCACCGCACTGTGGACCGCATTATTTGCCCACACTTCCCCCATGACCTCCGCCATCTCCTTCTGCATCTGGATCGACAGTGTGTTCACCTGCAACCGACACAATGGCATTCACACAATGATACATATTTAGGGTCTAAAACAACCGGACCGGTGTCCCCAAACCTTTGAATTGGGGTCATTGATTCGTATGATCGCGACATCGTCTCTGACTTCATAGTTGACGTGGGTTCTGGCTGAAGGTACAAAGTGAATGTCTTATATTATTGCTTCATAAAAAATGCACAGCTCTTTTAGACAGAGACTTACCCAACATGGCCGGTGCTACAGAGAATGACCGGAGACTGTTACCTGCAGAAACAGACAGACATGGTATACATCCTGTTCAAAAGTCTGTAAACTAACTGAGCATTTGTGACAATTCAAACTCCATCCAATGAATTTTGTGTTGCTGGTGAAGATTCCATTCCCGACAAAACTATCATTAAATTGAGAGATACATTTTGTTTTTGTAATTAATGTTCGGTTTGTGTCCTAATATTGCATATTTATGCACATACATTCGTTGGAGTCTGATGATGCAGCAGTTTTTTGGAACTACACATATCATTCACTCCATAGGAATAAACTACTACTACAGTAGCCACAGCTGCCCTGAGACACACAGACAGAAGCGAGGAAACTAGTCTGTGCCAACAATAAAACATGCGGTTATAATTTTGTAGTTAATACACAAACAAAAGCAACAAAATCTGAGACAGGTTCAATGAAGAAGCTTTTTGTGTCCTTATACATTATAATATATACAGGTTTATCAGGATCTTCTCATAAATTGTCCATTTTCCAATTGATACCATTTTATTTTATTTTTATTGTCACTCACGTCGTTATTTAATGTTAAGTAGAATTGTATCAAGTTTCTGGCAAACATTGGCTGTTGTTTGCCGGAGCTGAACACCCACTTTGCCTGAAGCCCCCGCTAAAAGATCAAAGCTGAGTCATTGACACAGCAGCAAACCTCCAGTGAACTTACCACCTACAATAGGATTTGTGAGGGGCTAGTGCTCTGTAAATTGGGTGCAGCGCTGATTGACATGGATTTAGTCACACACACACACACCAGACTAAATTGAATTAAGGGGAAGAAGATTAATGGATGTATTCTATCCATTAGTTCCATCCTAAACGTATGGATGAAATTAATTTTGTTTAAAGTATTCAAGAGTACAGGTATGTATGGAATAGAATACAAGGGCATAGTTCAGCTCGAATTGTCTTTTTTTCAGATGACAAGTTACTGTTACAGAAGATCATCTCAGATTACAAGTCATACCCCCCAATATGAGAGTTACACACACCATCACGTGGTCTTGTGCACAGCCAATATAGAACCAAACATTTATAAAAAAGTTATCCGAATATGTTTTCCACTTCAGATAGCATTGTTTGAACGGAATGAGAAGCGTGTGACCTCCTGGTGCAATATTAGCTTTGACCTCAGAGTCCTGGTCAGAGCCGTCTGCAGTAACTTCACCCTTCACCTACATCCACTGCAGACACCAGCACAATGGCGAATGAATGGCATAAGCTTCAATATGTCCTTGTAAATATAGACATGAAACTGACCCAGAATATAATCATGATTATTCACGTTGTTGTGTAACTAATTCAACTAAATATAAGTTTAGTGCTAGTTTCTTTGGAGTTTAGAAGCGAGTCTAGCTGATGATTAAAAGACAAAGATACTCGGTGGAACTTATTAGTATGAGTTTCAGCACTAATTCAGTGATATTTGGCGTGACAGCGTACAACAGACCACAATATATGCTATGAGATAACGCTGCTATGCTGTTATTCCATATTCTTGAGTGGTGGTTGAATGCTAACAAGCTAATTACCCGGCTAGCTCCATAAACAGCATGTCAGCAGTGCCTTTGACACACTTCCACAATTTACCCCAAATTATTACATATTTATCTTCAAGTATAACTTTATTGGTACCTGTGAAAAGGGCGTATTTGCGAGATGTTAGCCTAGAAAGAACACCGAGGGCTCGTACACCAGCCATGTTTGGAAGCGGAGGTCAGCGGCGTGAATGGGCTAATGCTAAGCGACTAGGCTAGCTGTCATTTCACTTCCTCAAACTCGTGAGGCGGATTCTGATTGGCTGCTGATGTCTGACTGAGTTCACAATGTTTGATGTTATTCAATTTCACATTTAAATGTAAGGCAATACAGCATCATCTGATTTGGTGGATTCATCAATTGTTATTATACTTATCATTTATATGAGTTTTTTTCCCCCCTGTAACAATTGCCTGTTGTAACCACAAGACGGCGCCAAAGTTCTTGATTGAATGAAGACACCAAAAGACCTCGTAATCATTTCTGACCATACAATCAAAATAATTGGTTAAATCTAAAACTGTCGAAGTCCTCACCGCTTCGATATATAAATATATAGTATAAATAGTTGGTAGTATTTGGTAGTCAAGTATTACCCAATACTTAAAATCAAGTATTGGGTAATGCTTTATCTTAATTTTTGCTGCTAAAAGTTTTTTCTCATCCACGTCATATGCCTGTCTGTGACTATTGTGGTTAAAACGTTTAAGTAATAAAGTTTCTTGATCTTGGACAATTTTGTCCACAATTTAACTTCAAAGTATAGCATCATAATGCATCGGTTTTATACAGCACCTTAGACGCTTCACATGTCATCGTTCATTCGCTCCAAACACAGTGGTGATAAACCACTACTGGAGCCACAGCTGCCCTGGGGCACACTGACAGAAGCGAGGCAAACAGTATGGGCCATCGGCCCCTCCCACCACCATTCACACGCACACACCATATTCCAATGTGGGGGAAGTGTCTTCATCCTTTATTCGTTCCACAGGGGAAATGTCAGTGTTGCATCACCAGTTACAGGACAGAAGGAATGAGGAGCACAAGATATACAGTATGAACAAAAACTCTACTAAAAATAAATAAAATATCTAGTCAATTGTTTCCACAGTGGCCCCACTATGTGGCACCTGGTGTTCCCAGGGGTCTCCCAACACAGTGCTACTCCTACTCAGGCAGGATCTGGCTTTCACCTGCAGATATGGCCGCAAAAGGTGAATTACTCCCCTATCCATGGGCCACTATACAGGCCACTATAGTTTGACTATTTAAATTGACAAAATTATGAAAATGATTATGAAAAGTTCACATACCACAACAATAGCCCAATAGTTTTACTGAGAGACTGTGGTCTAAATGCAGGTTTGTGCAGTTTCTGGTATCACATGTCAAATTTCCCCACTGGGACAAATAAATAATTTCTTATTTCATTTTATCTTTGGTAGTATGCTTTGAGCTGAAATCTTCCTTTTTAGGTCATCGCTATCACTTTTTATTGTCACTTAGCCCTTTTACCATCAAACTGCATCTCAGCCATTTGGTACAAGCCTATAATAATAATAATAATAATAGTACAAAACTTTCTTCAAGAAGTGAACACTAATGAACACTTCCCATGATCAGACAGGAACTGCATCCGTTTTGTGACTGTTGGATTCAGAACAGCAACAGAAAAATTATGACAACAATTGATCAATGAAAACATTAAACTTTGATAACCTTGAAAAATGACAACATCTGCGTAATGCAACAAGATGGACACTGTTGTTTAAAAGAAGTAATATTCATGAATAATCAACAAAAGACGACCAGCAGTCGTCTTGAAGGACTTTGCGATTTTATTAATTCTTCAACAACGGATAGAGAATAAAACAGTTTGTGACACAAGAAAGACAGTACTCTACTGTACTGTACTGCACTGAACTGTACTCTATATACTCTAGTCTTCGCTACTCTGCTCTGCTCAATATTCCTGGTACCGTATCCAAGCAACCAACCCACAACAAACCACTATCCTGGTAAATTCCTTGGTAACCATGGCTTCCAATCTGGCCAATCACTGTCAGTTAAAAAACTTTGGTACGAGCTCGGTCTGGATAGAAGAACCAAGTGGGACTAAAGAAGTGTATACTGGTACTGGTTACACAGGACCAGTGGAAACTGTAGACTGTAAAACGCACCCAATCAGGGGAGAGTACAGTAGCCAGTGTAGCGTAGAGTAGAGTAAAGTAGAGTAAACAGGGTTACCATGCTGCACCATATATATATATATATATATATATATATATAAAATTGTCCACTCACGGGCAGTTATTCCTCTCTAAGCTTGGGTCCTCTACCAGAGGCCTGGGAGCTTGTATATTTGCTGTTCCTAGCACTGCACATTTCTGGACCGAGACGGGCACTACTCAATTCAATTCAATTCATTCTTTATTAAGAACACAGATAGAACTGGTTCATAGATTAAAAATAATAATAATAATAATAATAATAAAGAGACAAAAAAAACATATGTATACAGTAAAATTATAAACAGGTGTACAGGCAGGACCTCCAATGCCTCCATAGGTCAGAGGAAAACCTTACAGAGCTCCAGTTCGGTAAAGTTAGCTTGATATTCACAGATTCGGACTTCCGCGGTGAATATCTTACGAAAGCTACGTTGTTAAACGAAAGTAATTGTGCCAAAATGATCACCTCTACATGGGCTAACTACTACAACATCGATTTTTCTAATCCAATGCGCTGTTTTAATGCAGAGAAATCCATTGAATCCAATGCGCCGCAAGTGCCGAGAAAAGCACTTAGGGAGCGTCAACAAATGCCAATACCAGCTGTGTAAACGAACAATAGTTTTTATTTTAAGCCAAGTACACGCACTAAACTCTCAAATACTATAAATAGCTACCATATCTAACTACTACAACCTTTGTTTTCAGCATTTGTTTCTTTTTTGTATTTTTTATGAATAAATAGGATTTAATATGAATATGAATTTTGAATAACTTTTTTTCAAAGAGGGGCGTGGTCACCAAATTCTCAGGTATGATCAATAACTGCCATATCTAACTACTACAACTTTTGTTTTCAGCAGAAATATCTTTTTTATATTTTTTATGATAAAATATGAATATGAATTTTGAATAACTTTTTTTCAAAGAGGGGCGTGGTCACCAAATTCTCAGGTATCATCAATAACTGCCATATCTAACTACTACAACTTTTGTTTTCAGCAGAAATATCTTTTTTATATTTTTTATGATTAAATATGAATATGATTTTTGAATAACCTTTTTTCAAAAAGGGGCGTGGTCACCAAATTCTCAGGTATGATCAATAACTGCCATATCTAACTACTACAACTTTTGTTTTCAGAAGAAATATCTTTTTTATATTTTTTATGGTTAAATATGATGAAATATGACTACAAATCTTGAATAACTTTTTTTCAAAAAGGGGCGTGGTCACCAAATTCTCAGGTATCATCAATGACTGCCATATCTAACTACTACAACTTTTGTTTTCAGCAGAAATATCTTTTTTATATTTTTATGATTAAATATGATGAAATATGACTACAAATCTTGAATAACTTTTTTTCAAAAAGGGGCGTGGTCACCAAATTCTCAGGTATGATCAATAACTGCCATATCTAACTACTACAACTTTTGTTTTTTGTATTTTTCTCTTTTTTATATTTTTTGTGATGAAATATGACTACAAATCTTGAATAACTTTTTTCAAAAAGGGGCGTGGTCACCAAATTCTCAGGTATCATCAATAACTGCCATATCTAACTACTACAACTTTTGTTTTCAGAAGAAATATCTTTTTTATATTTTTTATGATTAAATATGATGAAATATGACTACAAATCTTGAATAACTTTTTTTCAAAAAGGGGCGTGGTCACCAAATTCTCAGGTATCATCAATAACTGCCATATCTAACTACTACAACTTTTGTTTTCAGAAGAAATATCTTTTTTATATTTTTTATGATTAAATATGAATATGAATTTTGAATAACTTTTTTTCAAAAAGGGGCGTGGTCACCAAATTCTCAAATATAATCAATAACTACCATATCTAACTACTACAACCTTTGTTTTTTGTATTTTTCTCTTTATATTTTTTGTGATGAAATATGACTACAAATCTTGAATAACTTTTTTTCTAAAAGGGGCGTGGTCACCAAATTCTCAGGTATGATCAATAACTACAATATCTAACTACTACAACCTTTGTTTTTAGCAGAAATACCTTTTTTCATATTTTTTATGATTGAATCTTCAATGGCTTTTTATAAATGGAGAAGAGGGTTAACAGGAGTATGAATTAGACAGACTCTAATGTTTTAAAACATTTATTAAAGATTGATTTGTATGTGAAGGTGCGGACCTGTAAAGGAAAAGAGTGTGAGTTAAGGAAAATGAATAAATGTACAACATTTAAATATACTTATCTTTTACTCCCTTGTCTGCCCTCTTTAGGCGTTCCGGCCAAATAAGTCCTGAGGAGCCGGAGCACCTAAAGAGGATTCCGGGTTCATCCACTCTGCAGAGAGGGTGGAGGGGTTTCCTGGGTTTTATCTTTCCAGTTTAGTATAGTTTTAGAATAAATAAATCATTTGTAAATTTAAATAATAATAATAAAAAGAGTGTAAAAGCACTACTTTAATTATTGCTGTAGGGCTGCAGTTAGTATTGCTTAATTACTGTCATATGCTATAAAAGCAGGCCACCAACTCTGAACAGAGAGAGTGTTGCATGACATGCTGTCCAATGTAAATAAACCTGCACCCTGGGTGTGCACTTTGTTCCTCCAACATCTTCATAAGTGCCATCCTGACATGACAAGTGTCACAATCTTCAATAAATTTTGTTCTAAAAGGGGCGTGGTCACCAAAATCTCAGTTATAATCAATAATTAACATATCTAAGTACTGCAACCTTTGTTTGCAGCATTTATCTCTTTGTTACATTTTTATGATTAATTATCAATCTTCAATAGCTTTTGTTCTAAAAAGGGGGCGTGGTCACCAAATTCTTCAGAATGTGATAAGAGAGCAGTGTTGTGTCCATTGCACAATGGTATGTGATATTTGATAATTGTATATACTATGTGTATTTGCATATTACTCATAAAATAATGAAATGTAATTCCTGTTACAATAGAACATTATTTTATCTCCGTAGCAGTGGAACTGAACCACATCCAGCTTTGTGGAATCAGCTTCAACACCACTGACAAACCCATGAGATATTTTAATTATTGGTTATACCTGAGAATTTGGTGACCACGCCCCTTTTTGAAAAAAAGTTATTCAAGATTTGTAGTCATATTTAATCATAAAAAATATAAAAAAGATATTTCTGCTGAAAACAAAAGTTGTAGTAGTTAGATATGGCAGTTATTGATGATACCTGAGAATTTGGTGACCACGCCCCTTTTTGAAAACAAGTTATTCAAAATTCATATTCATATTTAATCATAAAAAATATAAAAAAGATATTTCTTCTGAAAACAAAAGTTGTAGTAGTTAGATATGGCAGTTATTGATCATACCTGAGAATTTGGTGACCACGCCCCTTTTTGAAAAAAAGTTATTCAAGATTTGTAGTCATATTTCATCATATTTAATCATAAAAAATATAAAAAAGATATTTCTGCTGAAAACAAAAGTTGTAGTAGTTAGATATGGCAGTTATTGATGATACCTGAGAATTTGGTGACCACGCCCCTTTTTGAAAAAAAGTTATTCAAAAATCATATTCATATTTAATCATAAAAAATATAAAAAAGATATTTCTTCTGAAAACAAAAGTTGTAGTAGTTAGATATGGCAGTTATTGATCATACCTGAGAATTTGGTGACCACGCCCCTTTTTGAAAAAAGGTTATTCAAAAATCATATTCATATTTAATCATAAAAAATATAAAAAAGATATTTCTGCTGAAAACAAAAGTTGTAGTAGTTAGATATGGCAGTTATTGATGATACCTGAGAATTTGGTGACCACGCCCCTCTTTGAAAAAAAGTTATTCAAAATTCATATTCATATTTTATCATAAAAAATATAAAAAAGATATTTCTGCTGAAAACAAAAGTTGTAGTAGTTAGATATGGCAGTTATTGATCATACCTGAGAATTTGGTGACCACGCCCCTCTTTGAAAAAAAGTTATTCAAAATTCATATTCATATTAAATCCTATTTATTCATAAAAAATACAAAAAAGAAACAAATGCTGAAAACAAAGGTTGTAGTAGTTAGATATGGTAGCTATTTATAGTATTTGAGAGTTTAGTGCGTGTACTTGGCTTAAAATAAAAACTATTGTTCGTTTACACAGCTGGTATTGGCATTTGTTGACGCTCCCTAAGTGCTTTTCTCGGCACTTGCGGCGCATTGGATTCAATGGATTTCTCTGCATTAAAACAGCGCATTGGATTAGAAAAATCGATGTTGTAGTAGTTAGCCCATGTAGAGGTGATCATTTTGGCACAATTACTTTCGTTTAACAACGTAGCTTTCGTAAGATATTCACCGCGGAAGTCCGAATCTGTGAATATCAAGCTAACTTTACCGAACTCAGAGCTCCTCCTTGGACAGACCAGAGCTTGGATGATCTGGTTTGACAGATTCACGGCTCTGCACATAAAAGAGTAAATACAATATCTGATGGAGACAACACATGACCTCGCACTACAATTTACAAACATTTCACTGGCGCTACAAAACCTGGGCACTTTCAACAGAATCCTCAGAGAGTCATTAAGAGCCACATTTAGACTCCGCATACTCTTTTTCTTATATCTACACCAGAGCTGTGCAGTATACAAGGGCGAGCAGAAAGCCTTGAAAAGATTAACTTTAACATCTCTAGAGCACATGTGAAACTTCCGAACGAGCATATTAGCCTGGCCATAAAGTTTACACTGCTGTCGATACATGTCTCTATCGTCAGAGAGGAACTGTCACCTTTACCCTCCAGGTCCTATCCAGCTCTTCTCTGAGACCTTGGTATTTCTCAAGCTTTTCGTGTTCTTTTTTCCTGATGTATATATTTATATATACTGTATACTGTATTGTTCGAACCCACGACTTTCCCGCCCAAAGGCCACTGCTCTACCAACTGAGCTACTGTCCCCAACTGTATTGTTACTAGTATTATTATAGTAACTATTCTAACATCAGATAGTGATCAAATGTTTGTGCAGTACAGTAGAATAAATAGAATAGATAATATTACTTCACCTCTTTGACAGCAGAAGGCGGGTCTTAAGGTCACCAACCCGAAGCCGTCCAATCACAGCGCCGCTCGTCCCGCCTCCAGCCAATCAGCGGTGCGTTTCTGCCTGGTTGCGATGGTAGTGCAGTGGAGCGCTCTCACTGGCAAATGTTCCTCTTTTTTTTTTTTACCTCTTTAACCCACAAATTTCTACGCAACTGCCCGGTTCCGCGCCTGTCTCCAGTGCGTGCCCCCTCCAGGCTCCACCATGGACCCACTTTGCCCGGACACTTAGCACTAGCACCGGGTTTGACGCTGTATTGTCTGCATCTTTGAAACATAGTGGAAATAACGATGCCATCTCCGATGGAGGGATCGTCCACGGAACAAGACCTGTTTACTGTGAAACATGAGCTGAGAAACGGTAAGTCACACATGACCCAGTTACACACAATAACCCGAACCTTCATACACTGTTATTGTTTGGCACAGACACGTGTCATTGCACATGTTAGCAGCTAGCTTGTAATAACCTGCAATGTTGTTTGCTAGCATTTTACCAAGTCAAAATTTTGACAATTTGGAAACGCGTAAATCGACTTTTAACTCATGCAAACTACTGTTATCTAACCGTAGGACACAGCGAGCTTAGAAGAGCTAGGCAAAAGAGGTAGCAGTAATAAATTTAGCTTAAGCTTTTTTTGTGAACTGGATTAAAGCCATTCTGGAGTCAATGGGCAAGCGCTTGGCACGTGTGTAACTGTGTACTGTAGTAATACATGAGTAATGTCAAAGTACAGTGTTTGGATGTTAGATAGAAGTGTAGAGCTGTCAGACAGTATGTCTCACTAACATGTAGCTAACTGTTCTAATGCATTTGTATAGTGAGAAATTGCTTTAATGAAAATGTCAGTTTCACCCACCACCTATCGCCGCCCATATCTCTCACATTTCGTGGGAAGTTCAAATGCGTCTCGTGGGAACATTTGAAAGTTTGCGGCTGTATTTGATGACATACAAATCAAGTCTAAGATCCTGTCTCTGCTATTAATCTGTTATTACTATTTCTATTTTTGTTAAATGTGTTGTGTTTCCATTACACCGGTACTGCATTCTAGCAACCTACCTACTACTAACCATTATATCCAGTTAAATTCCTTGGTAACCATAGCTTCCAGCAGCATCCTGGCCAATCATTGTCAATTAGAACCATAGACTGTAAATATAAATGAACGTAGTCACGCCATGGATCTATAATGATAACTGGATATGATAATACTAGCTTATAGCTGTCCCGCCCATGGGCACAGGGGGCGCCCGTGGTACTGCTAAATTCACGTGGACTACCCAGAAATTTCCTCAATGCAAACTAAAACAGCTCGACCTCAGCTGACAGAGAACCTACAGCTTTCATAAAGATCGGATTTTGTGGGGATTTTAGTGTCCCTTGTCATCCTGAACTTTTTTTCTTAAATCCTTGGGTTTTCTTTAAATTTACACTTTACTGCCACAAACTCTGCTCGTTTCCTTCCCGCTCTGACTCCGCTCTACCAATGCTCTCATCAGCAGTGCTGATTGGTCAGAGCACGGCCGAGCCCCTCTGTGCACGTGCATGAGAGCCACACGCGTATTTGGCCCAACACTTCATGGGAGCTCGTCCACTGCGCAGAACCGGGAGGACCAGATGATGCCCAAATGTAGCCGAGTTCCGCTGATATATCAGCACCCGTGAAGTCCCATGAGCTACTGAGCACAAGCCATATAGGCTTGTGCTCAGTAGGGCGCCATCTTGGATCACCGGGGCTTGAGTCTCTGCCGTTGAAACTAATGTGCCACCAATTTTTCAGTCCTCCCGCAGGAAAATGTGAAAACACGCAGTTTGCGCATGCGTAGACAGCATAAACCCTATAGTTTCCACAATATTGGCAGCAGACTTCCGGGTTGCCATTTTGTTTGGCACTTTGCACTTAGACAAACTAATTAGAAGAAGCTTCTGAAAAGGGTGCATGTTTTATTATTGGACAACAATGACTTCTCAGAAGTTGAAGTCATACAGGGAGAGCCTCAAGGTAAAGAACGCCAGCAATACAATGTGAAAATTGGACCTATTGCAGAGGGAGATCCATATACGCTCGCGTAGGATGACCTGGAGAATGATGCTAAGTGCTTAACAGCTGCTGAACAATATATTTGAGTAACAACATTTGGCTCGCGGGATATGTTTCCGGAAGAATTTGGCTGTATTTTATTGTAATACGAAATTAAACCACATCACAAAAATAATCAATCAGGGTATGTAGGCGTTCATTAAAGGTTTATGAATAACATAATGTTAGCCTGTGACCCGGTTATGATTAAAATAGATTAAATGCACAGACGTGGCGACAGTGGCTCAGTTGGTAGAGCATTGACCTTAGAACCTGAAGGTCGTGGGCTTGAGCCTACCACGAGACCTACTTCACGACTCCCACTGATGACTGCTGTCGTTGTGTCCTTGGGCAAGACACTTAAAGACCTTATGACGGGTTTTAAAAAAAAAAAATAGTGGATATCAAAATTGCATGACAATGTCAATTTGAAAGAGATTCCGGCAAAAAAAATCCTATATTTTATAAAAAGAACGTGTTTTTCATGAATTTAAGTTGTCTATGCTCTAACCTGTGTGTGACGTCATAGCGGGTTACGCCCATGCATTGAAAACCATGGATCTATGCCACAGGACTGCCTTTTCTCTCTTCTCTCCACTGGTGCCCAACACAATACTGCCCTCTACAGGTGACAATTGCTCACTACACATAAATTGCCGTTTTGAGTGTGAAAAAGTGTGCGAGGTGGGAATTGAACCCAAGTATCTGGATTGGCAGTCCATCGACACAACCGCTGGACTATCTCAGTGACAACGAAATGTTACATTCTAGTAGTTATCTTAGACTCGCTGTACACGGCCTTGTCATCTTGAATATCCGCGAAAAAAGAACGAATACCAAATTGTAAACAACTTACAGCGTTGAAACGTACCCGTTCTGACGTCACCAAGGGCTGTGAAGTTTTTTCGTTTCTAAGGGCGTTGCTATGGGGTTATTTCGATTTGGGGGGATCAGACAAAAAAAACAACAACTGATTTTGAAACCTTTAGTAGTTCTCTTCTAATATAAAATGGTATTAAAACTGTATTTCTAAATAAATCAAACCCGTCATAAGGTCTTTAACCCCTCTGCCTGAAGCTCCCACTGAAAGATCTCAGCTCCTGTGGACTCACCAGCTGCAGGAGGATCAGTGAGGGGCTGGTGCTCTGTGTACTGGGTGCAGCTCTGACTGCCACCCCCCCTACCCAGAAATGGATTAAGGGGAAGAAAATGGATGGATGGATGCACAAACGTGAGGTATAGCATGTAGCATAGCTAGGCTAAATAGGGACAGACAAACTAACGGAACGTGCACACTTGTAAACAACAATATACTTATACATATACTCATAAATGTTGGGAATACAACTGTTTTTCCTGTGATAAAGTGATGTGAGCAGATTTTAGAGATATTCATAGGTTCATCCTTCCTGTTGATACTGGCTACCGGCAGCCGGCGAGGTTCCTCGCTATGCGATTTAGTGTAATCTCCTTCATGTTCTCGGATCCTTGGGATAGAATAGAATTTTAATCTATCGGTCCCATTTGCTCTGTTACCCCATCCACGTACCCAACACGAAATAACCATTTTAGTTAGGAAAAAGAGCTATCCTATGGCTTTTAGGTGAGTTTTAGTGACGTTTTTTAGTAATTAGATTGATACATTCAGCTGTGAGACTGTCGCTGTGCTTTCTCTCTGAGGTAGAGGTTTGACTGTGGCCACTCAGAGCGATTTGTAAACTTTATAAAAACACAATGACGGCACAATCAAAGAGCACTGCTGTGTCCCAAAAATGCCCAGTATCCTCACAGTTTGATTCCCGTTTGAGCATTATTTGGGAAACTCGTGTAAACCACTGCTGAACTCCAGTGAAACTCAAGCTGTTACCCGCGAACAGGAAGTAAGGTGGGGCTTTAGCTAAAACGCGGAAGTGGTGCGTGCATAGAGCCCATTGGGATTAGAACTTATCAGTCTCAATGATAGCCGCAGCCGCTTACTTTGCCCAACAAAATGGCGTGCACAACAACAGACCGGGAGCACTGACGTCACACGGGAACTATGTATTCATTTAATGAGAGCCTTCTAAAGTCCACAGAGGCTAAACTAGAGTGGGCCAAAAAATATGCTCCCTCAGTATTGACACGCATCTGGAACTGTTTTTGAGAGGAAAAGAAGACGTCATTTTCAGTGCACTATAATAACAATAGGTTGAGTTAACTTTTAACCTCTTAAACTCCTAACCTAACCTCCTATCCTAACCTCTTTTGTGGCTCGTGCACAAAAGTTTGGCATACCCAAATGTCTTTGCCAGTGTTGGGTAAGTTACTTTGAAAATGTAATTAGTTACAAATTACTAGTTACTTCTAAAAAAAGTAATTAGTTACATTACTTAGTTACAGCCCCAAGAAAGTAACTAAGTTACATTACTTTTGGATTACTTCGTGTCACAAAAAAGAGAACAGAATCAAGTTTGTATGTTTGCTTTATTAAAGCCATTTAAATAAAGGTCAACAACAAATCAAAACTGGCTCAAATGGCATAACATTAACGAAAGTAAATTACTATAGCAGCCAGGACAATTAAATTAAGGCAGTTTAGTCATCAAGACTACTGGCTGGTAGTGCAAAAAAAACATTTTTAAATAATAAAATAAAACTATTTAAACAACAACAACCTGAGTTTCATTTTAAGGCCCCGTCCCAAATCGCGCACTTGCGCACTACACACTTTGAGAAGTGCGCACTTTTTGAAAGTGCACATAAGTGTACAAGTGTGCAAGTGCACAGTGCACAAGAACTGCAGAATTGGGACGGTTGAGTATACGTCATCAACGTGCTCCAGGACGCAGTCGTTTGGCGTCATTCAAGATGGCGGAGCCGGTGGTTGTTTTGGCGAATTTGCTGCTCCAAAATATGCAGAAACTCCAGCAAATTTGTTTTTTGAGACGGAGAAGGCGCAGACAACGCAGGAGGTTCATCCGCCAGGCTCTTGCCTTTGCGCAGGAGTCTGAATTGGTACGTTAATTTACTTAATACAGTAGTAAGACCGTTATTTTTAGTTTTCTGCTAATGTGCTAGCGCCAGGAATAGGCTAAAGTGCAACGTTTTCTAACGATGCAAACGTTAGAAAACAATGGCATTTACAACACAGCTATCATGCTCTCAGAGTTAATTGTTCAGCAGTTTCTCAAAGCGCTACTTCTTATTATAATTCAGAATAGGAACTGTGTTTAGAATTTTGATTTCAGACTGTTTCCATCAAGTGAAATGAAACCGGCTGATAATCAGGCTAGTAACA